GTTTCGTTCCTGTGCAGAGACGAGTCGTCGGTAAAAACTGCAATTCTAAAATCGATCACATATTACTGGACACCAACCGTTATACGGATCGCATTGCTTTTCCATACTACCAAATCACTAATTTAGCGTTTGTAATTGCACAGGTAAGCTTTTATATATTATACCGGCTATTATTTAATTCTCGTTTTTATTGCATTTAATATACCTGTTGTTTTTTTATTTGTCACTGCAAATGTATGCATATGTTGTCATGCTAATAGGAATGTGTAACCTATCCAAGATAAGATATGCTATCTTTATTAAGTATTTCTAATGGAAATTTTATCTTGTGTTGGTAAGTAGGTGCTATAAACATTGATTTGTTAACAGTTTTTATTCAACTTTCTCATATCATATTAACTGTTTTCGTTACTATATTTTATATTATCATGAATATTTCAACTTGCAAGTATGCTGATAATTTATGGGACTTAAATAACTATATAACTCAAAAGGAAAAATTATGTTATTGATTTCAAAATTTGTTCTTACAAGAGTATATATCAATGTATTGATTTAATTTAGTTTCAAATATTAAATAATTGTATTTTTTTGTTTAAGATTCAATTATTCTGATTAAAATGCCTAAAAAAATAATGACTGATGATAAACTAATACAAATGTCTAAAAGAAATAAGGTAATTATTGACAAACCATGATTAAATTAATATCTATAAATAGTTATTTTTGATAAAATATTTTGTTACAGAAAGCAAAAAAAATATTTGATCCATCTAATAATTATTTACCGAAAAAAAAAAATAAATGTTCACGGAGTAAAATAAAAAAATCCAGTTCTATAAAACAATGTAGTATAAAAGAAAAACAGAAAGCTTCATCCAAAAGTACTTTAGAAAATTATTCATCCGACCGTTCATCTAGAAAGAGCATTCCTGAAAGTGAAAATTCTCATTCAACATCAAATCTTCCAGTTGCACCTACTGAAGTAACACATTATTGTTATATGTGCGATGCCATTGGTGGCATAGACGATATAATTGTCTGTCCAACATGTTTTATTAAAGGTAAAAATACTTATAAAGTGATAGTCAAACAGCAAGATTAAAAAGAAATCATATTTAATTAATTTTATTGTTTTGAATGAAATTTAGAAAAATTAAATAATTTATTCATGAAATAAAAATTATCTTCTGAAAATTGTTTCAGTTTAACTCGTTTATTGTTTGAAAAGTGTCTAGCAATCACTCTTATTGTCACTATTAAGTTTTAGTTTTTTATTCCTTTGTATCATATTCTTGTGTTACTAATTTATAATTTATTATATATTGAAAAGTTCTTAAAAATAATATTTAAACATTTTAAGGTACAAACTCATATTAATTTATAATGAGTGGTTAGTAGACAGTAGCTCTCAGAGTGTAGTATTTTTGGGCTGCCACTATATTGTAGTCTGGTTTTTTTTTCATTATCTTGATTGCCACTCTTACAATTTTTGTTTTATACAATACATAATATTTAAAATTTTACTTAACGATATGATTTTTAATAACATAAGGGTACTCTGAACAAAGTTAAGTTACAATGTTAGCCTATAAACAAATTTGATCAAACAAATCCCTTAATAATTGTATTATTTATTATTTTATCCAATTTTCCTTGAATAAGTTAGATTAGTTAGTGTTATCTTACAGACATATCCTCTAACCATATCCTCAATAACCTAAATTATTCACTAATATATATTTCCGTGCGACTATTGGAATCTAAATAAAAAAAATGATTAGAATAATTAATTTGTATTTTACAGTTCATAAAGAATGTTTAATTATTACTGAGCCTATGTGGAAGTTTAAACTTGATTCATGTTCCTGGCTCTGTAAATTTTGTAGACCATTACACTGTGTCGAATGTCTTGAAAGTAAAATGGACTCAGTGAGTTAAAAAAATTATAATATTTATTAATTGGTAAAAAATAGTGATATTTTACTTTTTTTCAGAAATTTATAAGTTGCGTAACATGTAAAGTTGGCTTACATATTAGTTGCATTGATTTTTGTGGTACTGAACCTTTAGAAACTATAACTAATAACTTGTTCGTGTGTAAACCTTGTTTGACATTGGCTACAAACAGATTGCCAGAAGAAGAAGAAGAAGAAGAAGAAGATGATGAAGAAGAAGAAGAAGAAGAAGAAGAAGATGAAGAAAAAGAAGAAGAAGAAGAAAATGAAAGAGTTGTGGATGAAAGTGAAGAAAAGAAGTATAAAAAAAAAGTAAAGAAAGAAAGTGACGAAAAAATAGGTAATATTATTATTATTGATTTTTTATTGCTGTTTATAACTAATTATATATTTATTCAGATTTTTTTAATACATCATTGAATGAAATTAATTTGGAAGATAATGATAACAACAGTATTAATTCAGTTGAATCTGATAATTCATCTATAAACTATGAAAAAGAGTTTACTGAAGTTCCAAGTACAATTATTCCAGATGTAACTAGATGGGATAAATACCAAATATATGAATATTTATCAGATCGTGTACCTAATGAAGTACTTGCTAAATTAATAAAACATGTATGATATTATAAATTATATTATTTTAATGTAGATATAATCAGTGGTATTTTCAGCAATTACTGCTTTTTCCAGAACAGTAGTTTCTAATTTGAGTATGCCACTGAATGTAGTATTTACTTAGCTACTGTATATAGTACACGTTTTACGTACCATAAATTTATTCATTAATTGTGAATTTATATTTTTATTCTATTAATATCATATATTTCATTATTTTAGGAGATTGATGGTCGTGCTCTGCAATTACTTCGACGGGCAGATATAACATCACGTATGGGTTTAAAACTTGGACACGCCATGAAATTATACAAACAAGTACGAATTTTACAAACGCAAAGTACATATCATAAATGTTATTGGGAATAATTGAAGACCACGGAGCCAGTAGCGCCAAAGTTATAACTAATTAACAAATTTATCACAGATATGAAAATAAAATAAAAATAAATTTGATTATATGATTTCTCTATACTACAATTTAAAATAATAAATAAATTACTAAACAAAGCATTTATTTAGATGTCCAGTGCTTGTCTTTGATTGCTGTCTGTGAATTGTGTTAATCAATCAATTAACATTTATGATGGTAAAATATAATCTCTATATATACAAAAAAAGGTTCTGATAGTTACTAATACTATTTGAATTTTTAGCTTCATTGGTACCTATCTAAATTATGAATTTAAAATATAAATATAATCTATTATGTATTTTATTAAACCTTATTAAACAAAAAATTAATAATAGAATTAAAATCTATACTTTGAAGGTTAATAAGGTTTATAATTTCCAATTTAGCTCTTTGAAATTTTTAAATCACTCCTTCTGCTTATAAAGATACAGATAACTGGATATAAATAGTAATAATTATACACAGTAACTTGTGTTAAAATTAACAATTTTCTATTTTTTAATTTTTTTTATGGTAACAAAATATTTATGGCTGTAAATAAAATATACTAATATTCTATGATTGGAGACTACATTTATAAATAATTATATACATGATATATACAAAAATGAATTTTTTAATGTTTTAAATTTATTATTTAACTAAATTAATCTTGTTATCGTTGTTCTTGCATACATTTGTACATGATTATTATCAAATTTTAAACTTATACAATTTACTTACGCATACAATAATTAACCAATATAAACCTTTTGAAGTATGTAACATAGTATAATCGACAATACAAAGTAATTACCATAAAGGTATGTATTGTAAATAATAATATATTGAGTAGGGGGGAAAATTAACAAAGGATAATTGTTAAGTTGAAAAAATAACAGTTATTCGTGTTACATTTTAATAGTTCAATGCAATTATTTTTGACATAAACTTTTACTTACATATTTTTGTGTTTTTAGTTGTTTGTTTATTTAATTGTTGAAACAATTAAAAATCATTATACCGCAATATATTGTAAGTACCTTATAATGATGTATATAATACCACAGTCAACAGGTCACCTTGTCACCAAATAAATCATAGATACCTACAACTTACCTATGTTGTATGCTGGTATTACGAGGAGTCTTGCTTCTATATATTAATCAATTTAATTATGTTATAATTAGGGAACGGATTTATATGTAATAAAAATACATAAATATGTACATATGTATGTAAGTATAATTTATAAAATATGTACTAAAACCATCCAAATATGTAGGAAAAAAATTTAAAAAAAAAAAAAAAAATATAATTATTAAATTATCAAAATGATTTGTTGCATTGAATTATTACAATATATTTTAAATTATCAAATATTAAATGTCGCCTATTAGATCTGAAAATATTTTTAAAACGGCTAAATGATCGTTCCACATCAACCTACATCGGTTGATTTAAGCATGTTTGAAGGGCATATTATTAGAAGGCGATAATTCCAAATTTTTAGAAGGGTGTCTGCCACTAATTATGTCATTAATTGATTTAAAATCAATATGACCTGAAATTTTTTTCTGTAAAAACATGAATTTTCTTTTTTACTACTTCTCCTATTGGTCCGTTTACGAGTTTTCATTTTGCAATCGTTGATTCGACAATTTGCATACTTTTATTCAAGGACATATTTTTGTTTTTAATTTTATAATTGTATGTGCAATAAAACTAAAATTCACTGAGATGAAAATTAAATTTGTTTTCAATGTTTCATTTTGCATAATATTTTGAGCTTTTCTAATAGCGATAAAAGTTCTGGATCTAAATTTGAAATAATTTTTTATATTTTTGTATGAAGAAGACGTATGAATGATGAAATAATAAAATATGTTTAAAAATATTTAAAAATTAGTGAAATATGTAAAAATATGTAATTATACCAAAATATGTAAAAATATGTAAAATAAAAGTAGCATCATATTAATAGGAATGATTTAAATTATGAACATTTCTTATCAAATTTTAAATATCTTGTTTTAATAAAAATATGTATTTACATATAAATCCGTTCCCTAGTTATAATCAATGGCTTAATAGTAATAATTTAGAAAATCCATTTTTTACTAGCTAAAAAATAATAGGTTTCTTAAAAAAAAAATTTAATGTTAAAAATTGTAAAATATTTTTATAAATACGTGTTTATTAAAAACAAAAAGCATATGTAATGCTTGTATACAATACATTACATTACAATACATGTAATGGTTTGGCTGGTCGGTCGGAGGGGGTCGGGGAGAATAATCCGCGTTATTATAGACACTATTGAAACTGGGTTCACGACAATAATTTACTACAATATTTTAGGACAATAATTAACTTTTAAAGCCAACGTTAGTCGCCGTACACCGTCATCTACGAATTCGTGGATAAAAAAAATTGCAGAATCGAATTGGTTTATAAAATATTTATCATTAAATTAGGATAGAAATATTAAATAAAACATTAAGTAAAATTAATTTTCCAATAAAAGGGGTTTTTCTTGTTCGTTGTTGTATGGAGTTTATGTTAAATAATTTAAGTCTCCCTAGAATGTTTACTAATAGCCACTACTGAAGATTCCAACAACAGCAATAACGTAACCGGGTACTGGTATACCGATGAATTTATAAATTTGATATTTTTCCAGAAGTACCTATCTTTGTACAACGTACATGCACTTTTGAAGTCTACCCTTATTTTATATGTACGCTTAGACGAATTTTAAGTTTTTCCACTTCTTATTATGTAGAATTTATGGTTATGGATTTATACCTACCATGATAGATTACCGTATTTGAATTACGCGCCAATAGGTCGATAATATTTAAAAATTAGACTTTAAAAGTGGTAATATCAAAAGTAATCAGTGATTATTATAAGAAATAAAAATGTCTGAGAACAAACAAAGAACAATAGTTTGGGTTAGAGCCGGTTTCGACTGAAACCGACATTTATTATACATAAAAATCAATACCGACATTTTTATTTTCTCTGGCGGGAACCAAAACCAATAAAATCGTAATCTCCAGTACTTGATAGAGGTTATGAAAAGATAGAGGTTATGAAAAAATAGTTTGAAGTAATATAATAAAATATATCTGTTTGGTCGTGCATAAAATTAAAGTTACTAATCTATAGAATCGGTAAGATTCAATTTTTTTTTCATTTTCAAGGATTAATCAATTGTGTTATCAACTTTTTTTCGATCACACAAAACACGACGTGTACTATCAGTAATCAAGGTACATCACAGAGATACACGCACCGCTATATAATTACCAAGTAACTGTAAATTATTAAATTAATGTTTACGATTGTTGTACTAATTATTTTATAATATTAAACTTTAAATAGGTTATAGTGTACAATTATTAACTATTTTTTTTTATTTTTTTTTTTTTTTTATTGACACTTGTATTTAAACATTGTAAAAATTATTATTTCTCAGAAGACATGGAGTTAGAATCAATGGACAATATCATTCAACCAATTGAAACTTCAAAAGTTTCTGCACTCATAAACGCTGAACAAGACGATTTTTCTGAACTACCAATTAATCATACTATAGAGAGTGAACGTAATACTAAAGATGAAATTCCCCAACTAATAGATGAAAATGAAATAAATGAAGAACCTTATGAAAATATTGGGAATTGTTTTGTGATCAAAAAAATAATTAAACATGGAATTCCAGATATGTGTCCAGAAAGATATGATGATATTATAATTAATTTAGTTGGTCGTCAAGATGAAAAAGATTATATAATAGAAGACGAAAAAAAATTATTAATTACTCTTGGTGATTGTGAGGTAAGGTATTAATTTTTAATTAATATTAAAGATTTTTTAGTCTATCTTCATTTATTTCAGGTATTAGAAGGTGTTGATATAGCATTACACTTGATGAATGTAGGGGAAATAGCCGAATTAGAAATAGCATCACAATTGGGTTATTTGGATTTAGGTATAGAATCTATGGTTTCTAGTGGTGCTAAACTACGTTATACTGTTGAATTGATATCTATAAAACCTAAAATACTTCCTGAAAATCTTTCTCTCAATGAAAGGCTTAGAATTGGGTTTGTATATTTGTATCTTATAATTTAAATAAATTATTGCGTAATTATTATCTCTCTGAATGTGAATATAATATATATTATTTACATAATAATTTTCATTTGTGTTCCACATGAATAATTCATGTGGAGCTCAAATGAAAAATTCAAATAAAAACAATAAAATAAAACAATTATTGTATTATATATAATAAAATAGTTTTCACTTTTTAATTTTTTTTAGTTTATATTTAAATAAATAATTAATGAATTTATATAGGTATATTAAATTATTATTAAACTTAAAAAGATATTCTGATTTAAAATTTATTTAAGTATAATTTAACTAATTTAAAATTATTTTTAAACAACTTAATTTCCCAGGACACATATTATACCTATTATTTGTAATATTTTTTACCAATCTTAAATTACAGGTTTGTAATTATATTGAATATGAATTTACAATAGCTTAAATATTTAATTAAATTAACTGCATTCTTCTAATACTACGTTATTTGATTACATTTTTAATAATTTTATAATACTTGTATTGATCAGATTATTATATGTTATAGGCGAAAAAAAAAAGCTAGAGGTAACTGGTGGTACTCATGTAATGAATACAAAATGGCTTTAAATGTATATAGAAAAGCTCTTCAATATTTTGGTGGACCTGAAGACCAAGTATGATTATGATTTTATTAATTATAAAATATTTTATTTAAAATTATAATAAAGAAACATTCTCAATATATATTACTCTATAGAATTACAATTAAATTTAACTGAAATGGTTTTAACAAAATAAAAATAATTTCTTTGCTTCCTATTACTAAGTTCTATGAGTTTTACTCTCAAAAATAAATTTATATTTCTGTTATTATTTCAATAATCATAATTCCAACTATTTCATTTCAATTTATTCTAATGACAATAATAAATTATTTGTTTGTTTGTATATTTATATATAAATTAGTATATATTTTAGTATATTATTATTCATATGATTTTATTTTGATTAAGAGTTGATCATGTAAATTTTAAATTAATGTAATAACATTGTTTAAACTGTTTGGCTTGTTAATGGTTGGCACGTAACAAAACTTACAATTATTAACTATTATAATGTAAAGAAAATTTAAAGAAATAATAAATAATACATAAGCTAAGTAAAGAAATATGACAAAACAACAGTTTTTTAGAACTAAACCTCAAAAAAAAAAAAAAACAATTTTATGATTACTAATTCTTATTAGTGTCTTGATTGAAAATGTGAATTAATACATATGTGAACACAGTCCATGTAAACTTGAATAAAAAATTATGTGTATAGTTGAATTTAGTATACAAATGTAAAATTACACGTATAGGTACATGGAGTTTTAAATTATACATTTTTATATTTTTGAATGTTAATTTCATGTAAATACATGAAAGCTTGTACACGTGAAATAGGAAGTTCTAGTTCTTATTGTTATGAATTCTTGAATTTGTTTAGTACAGCTCTCTATATCTCCTTGTTATTTACATTGTTATAACTGTAATATCATATTTCCTTTCTTTACAGATTTTATTTATGACTTGTGTCATATTTTGTTTCATTAGTCATTAATTTTTAGCATACTTTTCAATTTGCTCTTCAATTTTTGTTCTAATCTTTACTGCTTTAATATAAATATTTTATTTTTTGAATCAAATATGTTGACCATAATTTCTGCTTTTTATTCTGTCTAGTTTCTCTTCATTTATGACTCTCGGATCATATAATATTATATATTTCACAAAATCACCACATCTCATAGACCTTAAGCTAATTTTTTTCTATTTCAGTTATTTGGATTTCGCAGCAAAACTATAAATATAAAAATTGCATTCATAAACTTAAAGAAATGTCTTCTTTAACCAGATTTGTAATATTAGTAATTAGTAAATTGTTCATATTTAGAAAAGCTTTTTTTGTGTTATCTTATTAATTACATCCATTTTGCTGTAACCATTCTAATTATTATTAATCTATATGCTTTATTATCTATAGCAGAGGTGGCAAACTTATGCCAGGTGTCCCAAAGGTGGCACATTGTCCAAATTATTATTGCACGCGCAAAAAATCGAAATTAAAAATTGCACAAAAAAAAATATATATATATATATACTATTTATATAATGTTAGTTATAAGAAATTCAAAGAAATAAATTGTATATTTTTTAAAAATGACAATATTTCTTATTCTTTCATATTATTCGTCAACTTCAATTGCTATGACCAATTTAATTAAATCGAAGGAAAGAAATAAAATGTTTTGACGATTGCTATTTGTGTTTCACTAAGAATGACTACAATTTAATAAAAATAATGTAATAAAACTGTAATTTTATTTTTATTCTTAGAAAATATAATTTTCTTTGTGCAAACGAATAATTTTCAAAACCATGATTGAAAAAAAAATGGTACTTGAACCGAAAAAGGTTTGCCACCCCTTATCTATAGTTATACTGAAATAAACCTGCTCTACTTTACTTTTCACTATGAATTTTCTTTTTTATTTGTTGCATTCCATAACTATTGCTAAACTTGTTGTGCATTCTTTGTAAAATAATTTTGAAATATTTTTGTGTATTATTTTTTTTGTAAACAAATCACTGTCATCAACACATTTAAGAGCATTATCAGTTTTTCCTATTCAAATGCTCTTTTTTATTCTTTGTTTTTTGATAACTTATTTAATATTTTATTTTAATAGCACATTAGGTGAACATTTTTAATCATGTTTTATATTTTTAATTTAATTTAGAACTAATGCATTTAAAAACTTTGTAAAATATGTTGATTATTTTTATTTTTAGGTCGTTCTTGATATTAGAAATAATGAAATTCTAATTGAACGTATCAAAGTATTTAATAAAATGGCACATGTATATATAAAAATGAATAATTTAAGTGTAGCACTGCTAGCACTGAACTATGTTCTTTATTTTGAGCCTATGAATGAAAAAGCAACTATCCGCAAAGGTAAAGTACTATTATTAAAAGGACAAATTATGGAAGCTGCTCTAGAACTTAAGAAAGCATTAGAAATAAACCCTAACAATGTGATAGTTCAAAATATTTTACGTAAAGTTGAATCAAAATTAGTGAAAGAAAGAAAATTGTTCAAAAATATGTTGGGACCAATAGTTAATAACAAATCGGTAAAATGCTACATTATTTAAATAATTATTAGGTACAGATATTGTTGGTCTAATTTGATAGGTCAGAGGTTTCCAACCTTTTTTGACTCACGGCACCCTTTATTATTTTCTAAAAATTTGAAGGCACCCTATAGCCTATGCCCTATACTCTATAGTTTATACTGAATACGCAATACTAATATATCATATATTTAAATTTATATTTTGTAACTTCAGTTTTATTTAGCATTAATAAACAATAAAGATAAGGTAAAGTCACATTTTATATACTATTTCAACATAAATAACTTTAAAAAAGTTCACATCAAATCGATAGCAATCGAACCAGTATGCAAATTAAAATAGTGTGAACATCTCAGTATTACTATGTAAAAATTATATGTGTTAATAATTAATTCATTAAATTATATTGTATGTACCTAATTAATTATACACAATAGATTTTATACTATAGACATAGAGTATAGTCTGTTTTATTACTCACAGTGCTATATTTTTCATGAAGGCATTTAAAAATAAATATATATTTCAAATATTTTTGTGGCACCCTAAATTTAATCTCGCGGCACCCTGTTTGGAAACCTCTGCGATAGATAGTAATTCCATTATTTATCATTTTGAGTTTATATGCTTTTAAGATATAGAGAGGAAATTGAGTTGGTTTATTTAATTGAATCTTTAAATCATCACTTTATCCTCCATATTATTGATATATTAAAATGTCATATTTCCTCAATGTATGACAATTTGATCTTAAAATAATATCTCCATGACTCCTTGTAATTTACATTTTTCAATCAACAATCTTTGTGAATTAGGCCAATAATGTCTTAAAAATATAAATTATAATTTTTTTATAACAACAATAATTATTAGATATTTATTATATTCTTTACTTTTATTTTTATTAAGACAATTGAAGAGTTATTATTTATTATACATTTACTACTTATCTATTTTGTTTTAGAACACATTTATAATCAGTGGACTTATTGCTGGCTTAGCAGTAATCTGTGGATACTGTTACTTTAAAAACAACTTTCCGTTTACCAAATTAAATACATAGCTTTTGTAATGTCAAAGTCTTACATTCAGCAAACAAATATAAACTGCTCACTGTGAATCCGTTCAATTTTAATTTTTAATGATATTTTTTAAGAAAAAATAATAATGGTTAACAATGTTTTTAATAAAAGTATTTTTTTTTTATTATAGATATTAGTTTTCATTCTTACCTTTGTTTAATTTATTTTGATTACTACGGTTTTTTAAATATTTAGTAAATAAATAATTTATGAATATCTAATTTTGTTAAATTTATCTATTCTTATTTATAAACAAATTCATTTTATATATTGGATTAATTTAATAATAACACATTTAATGCTGTGGGTAAAACATTCAAAATCAACAATTTTGAAAACATAATAGTTCTATACTGTTTGAACCTTAAATTGTGCATATGTAAGTTAAATTAGGTTTCAACGCCCCCAATATTTGGGCTTTAATTATAGAACATATGCAGGATTGAAGGTATACATTTTTTGTGAAATTCGGTAATATTTCAAACTGGTTATATTCAATATTATTTTCAGTTATACATTTTTGTGAATCAACTTTTCACCAATTGTTTTTTAGGTAGATACCCATATAAAATATGATATTTTATCTATTACTGCAATAGCCGGTTCCTCAATATTAATAAAATAGTTAAATAAAATAGTAAAACGGTTAGTCGGTGAAATGGTTTGTATTATTGTGGAATACTAATTTAGATCTTAGAATAAATTCATAACGAGTACACACAGCATGGAATACGGAAAATCATTGTCCTTTGCAAGTTGAAACTTTAATCCCTTTTTTTAGTTGGTAAAAGACGAAAAAAAAAAATGAAAATATATTTAAATCTCAAAATCTAAAAAATTTGTATTTTAAGAGTGTACAAGAACTCACTTCTCTCGTACCTCGTTCGTTGGTTTGAAAATTCCGTACCCGTATAAGAATAATCGTACGCATGGAAACACTGATAATCGAGGTTACTTCCCCACGCAAGGGTACCGCCCTTACTACCTAACTTAACAGCACCGTTCCACGTGTCGCGTTCGTAGACATCTTACGAGTTACGTGAAAAAAAAACTCAAGTCGCTGGACCGATCTGCGTCGACCCACCGTAACGTCTCTTTTCACCACCAACGAAGTCTAGTCGCAGAAATAGTATTATGTTCAATTCGGGTTAGTAAAAATTTTATTATTACAAAATCACCCAACAGATAAATCGTCCGAGGTCCACACTATGGATAACTTCAAGTTGGGTCCTAAATTTCAAAAATAGTATGAATTGGGTCCGAACGTATTTTATTGAGTACATGAGTTGGATCCAGCCTATTAGCGTAACCCAGAAGATACCACGTAAAGGTTGGCTAGAAAATCTTCCAAAAAATTTAGTTTTTTATATAAAGGTAACGGTCTGATGTAAACATTATTAAAATATTAAAATTATTATTCGATTAGAATTTTTTTTTGTATGAAAAATTATTATTGAATTGGCTTGATTTTGGATGAAATTTTAGTTTATTTTTACTTTTATCACTAATAGTTTATTTATAATTATATAGATAATTATGTATTGTATTATATATTATATATAATTATACATTGCGAAAGAAAACACATCTTTCACTAGGAAAACTTGATTTGGGTAATTAAGATAACAACAAGATAAAATCAACCGTGGACCCAATTCACGTATTATCAAATGTGACCATGGATCCAATTCGATTAAATGGGAAATTCCGAGGTGAAAATATATTATTAACGCGAATCGCTATTATATCCACAGATGAGCCAATACAATTTAAACGTCTTCAATTTCCAATTAGATCGACATTTGAAATTACTATCAATAAGTCTCAAAGCCAAACGATTTCTGTCTGCGGCTTAGATTTCAATTTTGACATGTTTTTCACACGGACAATTATACGTGACGTGCTCTCACTCAAACCATCCAGTTTTTTTGTGTTGGTGAAAGATGGGATAACAAAAAATATTGTACACTCTGTTGTATTAAGGGATTGATATTGTTTTTATACTAATATTGTCATGATTAGCAATATATATAATTTTAAAGGATCAATTTTAATAAATTATTAAAAAAATAAATGTTTGATGTTATTTCATTTTTATATTTCATCACCGGGGAATATTTTCTAAATTTAGCTCAAAGTGAATACTAGAAAGAAAATTGGAAATAGCAGTGTAATTACATTTATTAAAACTAAATTTGCAGGTTTTTGGATTGATTTATGACATAGGTACAAAAAAATTTAAATTAGACTCAAAAGGAGGGTGGGTAAGTCAGCCTTTGGGACAAGAGAATCTCCAGGACAGATTGATGCAACATCACCGTTTTTAAACAAACAATCAAGAAGTCTACCATTAATATTACTTACATTACGTACATTACTAACTTGGTTTAACTTTAAAATATTTAAGTAGCAATTAAATATAGTTGAAGCAATTAAATTATTTTGACTTAAGGTATCCTTTGTCGTGTCACACGTACTTAGATAACAATAATACCATATCACCCGGCATTGCATATTGATATGCATGAGTATATAATGATACATATAATAAATGAACTCTTAAAAATATTAAACCACATCTATCAAATGCCATACACCATACAAAGTTCAAGCAAGGAAATAAATAAATGATTATTGATTGTTAACCACATTTACATTTCACACAAATGTGATCTAACGAGGAAACATTATATAAATAATCACATATGTGAGATACATTAAACTACACGCATTATCATATTTTACACACACATTATTACCACACTTGCGTCAATCAGAAGATTAACTATTTTTATTATCGTTTTTCATATACACACATACACACTTGCATCCATTGGATATAAAAGGGACCCGAAAACTAGGGCAAATCAAACGAGTTCTTGCTATGCGACACTGAGCACCTTCACGCTAGTGATGTCACGGTTTGGACTTCGAAATTATTTTAATAGTTTTATTTATTTATTTAAACTATTGAAAATATTATATTTTCAGTAGTTTAAATATTTGGACTTAGAATTTTAACACCTAATTTTAATTTATTGTACTTATAATAATTTTAACAGTTTAATAAACCAACTAATCATAAAGAGTATTAATTTTTTCATCATTATACCTACATCCAAGTGTTGAATAGACTGAACGAATAACTGAAATACGATCAAACAGTTGGCACGGAACACCTTAAACCAATCAAATGTATTTAGATTAAAATCACCAGCTATAAAAAAATAACTATCGACAAATTTTAAAGCTATAGACTCAATTTGATCACAATACTCAGAGTAACTATCAATGGACAAAGAAAGAGGTATATAAATACACCCTATAATGGGAGAAATGTTTTTTGACAAACTAAGCTTAAGAATGAGTTTTTCAATTTTATTAATGAAATTTATATGAATTTGTTCACATACTATTTGTTTTTTTACGGCAATTAAAACACCTCCTCTATGCTGTCGGTCGTTTCGAAATAAATTATAAGGAGCACAACCAAGTTCAACATCAAATACATTGTCATTTAAACATGATTCAGTAATAAATATTATATCATTTTGAACATTTTGAAAAAAAATATTTATCGAAAAAAATTATTCGTCTGATTAATGGAACCACGATCATTTGAAACAATTGAAGGTACACCTTTAATATATTTTATTGTTCAATCCTTTTCACCATTAGAGATACGTGTATTTAATTCATCGCGAAGTTTGTTCATAGAAGTTCTTTGATAGGGTGTACGGTCAGAGCTGATAAAAATGTCTGATGTAGGCTGGTTCTGTTGTAATTTTTTCTTATTTCTCAAGATATCAAATGCGTCACGAGGAGAGGATAACACTATATTAATGGGACGAGGCTTTGTATTAGGTTGGTAGTGTTTACCAAATCTTATCAACTTTAGTGGCTTAATTGTCGACTCTGTAATAATAAATTCAATAACATTAGACACTGCTGATTTTATCAGCCGTAATGAGTGCAGTTGATTCTAGAGTATTATAGATTATTAGATTTGAAGCTCTCTGATACGATAATTTAATTAATTTATAATAAAATCTTCTGAAATCGGTTTATTGGCACTTTTAGATACTTTTTAGATACTTTTAGTTCCTTTACATCAGCTAACAATCGATTTACCAACTGCTTTAATTCTGAAATATCGCGTAAACCTTTTTCGCATGACGGACAAAAGTCTTTCAAAGTGCGATTTTTTTAAAGATAAACATTTTTTCTCACCAGCAGTAAGTTCAGAGAATTTATTATGTGCTTGAAAGTCACAAGAATCGCATTTAACTGGAACATTCAGGTCAGCAAAATTTTGATTGCAGACAAAGCACGTGCAAGCCATGATTTTTCTATTAATGTAATTGTAAATAATAACTATATAACTTTTAATATCAGTATCTTAGATAAGATTAAAGTGGAAAAATAAACGGACACATCACTCTTCAACTGCACAACACAAACCGATGTATAATATACTAAACCTATAATTGTATCATAATCTACATCTTAATACATACCATGTAAATATTTATATTACCCAATGGCCCTGATGCCGAGAGTTTATCTTTATAATAAAAAAATTAAAAAAATTTCCATGTAATATTTTATGTCACGGATACATTGGTTAGCATCAAATTACTCTTAATCTATTGTAATTAAACATATTTCATTTGTTAGCTAATTTCCTATAAAAAAAATAAATAAAACGAAAATATATTTTTAAGATGTTTTACTGTTGTTATTTATGTTTTATGTATTATTAACAACTTTTTGATAAATATAATATTCTAATTTACCTGTTACGAGAGATTATACAAATTAAAACATTATTCAATATAATTTAAAATATTAGTGTACAATAAAACTAAACCAAGATAAATAAATAAAATAAGAAAATTCAATAAAAGTTTGTACTAGTGATTTTTGAGTAACTAATTTCAAAATAGTAACTTTGTTATATTTAAATATTTTTTTATTTTAATTTTTATTTTTTTTTCGTCAAAAACAATAAATAATAAATTATTAAAAGATGCGAGATTAAAATCAATGAGATTATTTATCAGTGATAAATTATCACAGTCATATTCAAAATTATAGTACAGTAAAACTTCGATTGTCCGGGGTATAGTGGGGAAGGGTAACACGGATAAATGAAAAACACGATTAATCGGGACTTTTTACTATATGAATTATGGAAAAATGTATAATGTTGAATGAATATTAAGTGTGTACAATGTTGTTTTCTCAATGACTATTTTCGAAACGCCTATAAAAAATGTTAAAAACACACTACATAGTCAGTGCCTTAAAAAGTGTAAGTGATGCATAGCACTGGAGCCCGCAGGGTCAAAGGGCACATAGTAGAAAGCCGTCAATGTTTTTTTTTTAATTTGATTTAATTTGGTTCATAATTATTGTATTATTATCTTGTATTTAATTTTATATATATACTTTTATATTTTATTGTAAATCATATTTATAAAATAAATTATCATATATTCATATTATATATTTTATTTATCTTTGTACCTAGTTTATTTTATAAGTTTTTTTATTAATAAAATCTACCCAATATACAATTGTAATCTTGTACGAGTGATCTCGTATACCTACTAAGTTGAAACTTTACACAAGAATCGTTTCAGCGAGAAAATTATCTATCGGTTCTTTAAGATTCAACACATCCTCAAATACTATCCGATATAAGGAGTAAAAAATTCCCATAGCCTGAAGTCAGTCGGACTTTTTTATGTATTTAAAGAAAGAGGGCCCCATGCACATTTGTCTGCACCTGGGTCTTTGACACTCTAGTTACGGCACTGTACATAGTATAGAACAAATTCGACAGAATTGAAAATCCTATATGTATTAGTTATATAACGTGATGAATATGATTGTTGAAGAACCTCTATTAGTCTCTATTAATCTTAAAGGACCATTCGACTTAAACATTTTTCTTAATTTTAAATTATAATACATACTATGACGAAAAAAATGATACCACTAAAATTCGTTTGTGACTGTCCGTTCGCTAGTTACGCGATTGCGCGTGCATTGCACGTGACGTCACGGATTTGTTCGTCGTGGCGGCGGCCATATACAATACACTGCAATATTTATCCGTTTTTGGTTTAACGTAAAGTAACTGCTAATAAATATATATTTTTTCGAATAATCTAACCAAATGCAGGGCCGTGGAGAGAAATCAAGAGCCCCAGGGATAAATTAATCCAAGCCCTTTTCACACGAGGTAGTTTAAGTATCTACGTCCGATATGGTTGTACTTAATGTCTAGGGGGGGGGGTTCAGCCCCCATAGCTCCCCCTTGTATCCGTTCCTGCATTCGAGAATTTATGTGAAAAAATATGAAACTGTATTAAACGGGATTATGAAACACTCGTATTTAGTATAAAAATTGATTGGTCCAATACGTCCCAATCAGTTTCACTACAGTCGGCGGTTTAAACAGAAAGAAAAGGTATAATAATAATTGACCATAGTATCTAATGAAATATTGAATGTTATCGTGTTGTCATCAGACATCAATTAGATGCCATCGTATTTTCTAGAGTAAATGCTATACAATATTGCTTAAAATAACTTTTTATATTAAACAGTGCTTCTATTGCCGATGAAATTATCAAGCAATAAATGATAAATATCTAACCACCACGAATGTAGATGGTAAAAACATACTATCTATAGTCATGCTAACTACCAAAAAGTCATTGCTTTATTTAGATTTGTTGGGGGGCAACGATGAGGTCTATGGGGGAAATTCCCTCTCTCTCTCCCCCCTCCCGCCGTGGCTGGTATCGATGTATTATGAAATATTTATATCGATACATTGACACGGATGAAACAAAACCATATACCATAAAAGGTTGGAAAATGTTATCCAGCCACTTGAAATTCAAAATCAAGCAAGCAAATAATTTGTTATAATTATTAATTATTGTACTCGTAGAACATTAGTTTGATTTGTTTAAGAGAATTTAATGAAATCATGGGAAACATTTGAAAAATATGGAGACAGAATATATTTTTTAATGAAAACGTTATAAAGTCGACATGAAAAATTTAGAAAGTATATTTTACGTATCTATTGTTCAAACAGAGTTGCATTGACAAATGTGTAAATAACCGTTGGTGGCCGGGTTCGAACTATGCGGTTCAACGCGGCCACATTGTCTTGGCCACAACGCCCCAGCATACTACTGTTGCACTACGTGCAGCAGGGTAGCCCGAGTCGGTGTTGTTAACAAATAGTATACTCGTACGTTTAAAATTGTAAACGCAGCGAACGAGTGATTTGTTTTCGATCATTATTTAAAAATATTTACTTTTTTTTTTTTTTTAAATACATTTTATACTGTTTTAATTGATTTCTGAAAAAAATTATAGCGTACCGTTAATGCTTACATAACGTTGCACCCACTGAACCACTGTTGTAACCCTTGACAAACATCATTGAAATGTCGCGTTATATGTTATCAACAACCACCTTTTATTGTTTTCGTATTGATAGTATTTTATGTTACCGCGTGTTTTGATCAACCGGTGTAGCATTTGAATCGATTACATTTTTCGAACCGTTTGATTTTTTCGTTCGTGGCGTAAGCAAGTTTTATTTTGTTTTACAGTAGTCCAACGTTTGCCAAAAAATAATAATTTAATTTTCGGTTCATAACTAAGCGGTATCTACTCGCACAACAATGCATTTTAAATATGTTTTGTCACTTTTAACTGTTTGTGCTTCAACATCCGGTAAGACTATTATTATTAAGACTTGTTAATTATTTCATTGAACATAATAGATTGGTAAAACGTAAAAATGTACTACAGCTGACTGTACGAATGACAAGTCACCCACTTGCAACAAAAAAGACTATCCATTTAAAGAGGATGAATATTCAACAGAGGAAAACATCCCTCGAAAGATCGACTTATCTGAAGTCCATTTTATAAGTGATGCTTTACAATTGCATTTGGTAAGGATTTTTGTGTTTTATAATTACAAGTAGACTTATATGTGTACGATACTTTGATTTTCAGGTTGAGCCTAAAATAATTTGTGCCTCCAATGTCCTCAACTATTAAAATGTTAAGTGTATAAAAGTAAAAACTTACATACATTATATGCGCACATAAATTAAATATATTAATTGTAATATAATATTTGGTTATATAATGAAATTTATAATATAAACTATTTCATATTATAATAAACCTTATACTACGATAAAAACTTATTTATAATTATAATATATGGTATAACCTATGTTAAAACAAAATTTTTAATTTAACTAGGCTCAACCATGTGTAGCATGTGTATGTTTCCTATATTATGAATGTTATAATATGAATTCTTACAATTTTAACTATAGAACAATTTGGAAGAACTTTACCATTACTTACCACCTGCAGAAGCATATTTTTTTACAAGATGGGGTAATACAAATAAAAAAACCAGGTTTTCTGTCACTTATACATCGAATTTTTAAAACCGACCCTTTATTTAGTTATAATGATGAATTACAAGGCAATGGTACAAAACGCAGGACAGTAAAATGTAAACATTTATTGCGTTCAAATTCAATAATCAATAATGCTGTTGAGGTAATATATTTATATAACTTGAAATTGATTCTTGTTCAAAATTAAATAATTATCTATTGTTAATTTTTTATAATTTAGTATTAAATTGAAAAGTGAAAATTTTTTTATTTTAGTGTTTTGGTAAATTGTGTTGGAATAAACATATGTATTATATGTAGTTCTACAACATTAATATATATATATAGTTGGTAAATTATCAACAAATAATGGCAATTTTAAAATAATTCTTATACAAATATTATAGTTTTTGATTTTAATATAAAATTTCCTAGTATTGAAACCTTCCACTTAATGCAGGTTTAAAATTATTTCAATTCAAAGCACATTTTTAAAATTAATTAATATTTTATGTTAAACAAATTTATCTTATATAATTGTTTAATTAGTTTATACTTAATACATTGTTATGTATTTTATAGATTGTTAATTCAACAAGACTACAAAATATTTTAAAATCTGATTCCAACGTAACTAGTGATGATACTCTTGGAGTGTGTGTAGTAGTATACTTTTATAGTAATGAGTGTCCATTCAGCTTAATAGCTGCACCTCATTTCAAATTATTTGCTCATTTATTTCCTCAAATTAAAATGATTGGCATTAATTCCATAAATAACCAATGGTATATTATTTATTACAAATATTTATAACCATGTAAAATTGAAAATATTAAACATTCATTTATTTTATTAGGATAAATAACATGTACAATATAATTGGAATACCAACAGTAATTCTCTTTCACAATGGTAACCCTATTGCCAAAAATGAATACGCTGAAAATACATTTTATGAGCTGAGCAAATTCATAATTCTTCATACAGGTATTTATAGTTATTGAAAATAATTTTTTACGCAGTACTTACCTACTAACAGTTATATATATATATTATATAGATAATAAATGTTACAAAATTCAATAACTTTAGTAATTGTTCTAATTTATTTTCAATAATTATTCATTTAATTTGAATAAACTTACATTATATTCTATAGTTATTTATTTAAATAATTTAAGAAATAAACTGATTTAAATACATAATACTTAAATAAATTCATATTATCCATTTTTATATACTTTTAATTAAAGAATATCAACAAATGTTTTTAATTTATAAAATCTTAAAATCATGCACTTAATAAATAGAATAAATCAAATTATTTTTTTTTTCAACGCATAAACCATCACATTATGTTTAACTTCATATGTTTGTCTATTAAAGAAAATAATTATAATATATTTTTTATAGATCTGAATCCAGTCGACATAAAGAAAATCTATTTAATGGAATTAATAAATGCTGTAAACCGTGTCACTCCAAGAGCTTTAAAACCAGACTATACTCTATGGTTGGCATGGTTTGTAATTATATTCTGGATAGTATATTATGCTATAACTAAAGATTTATGGACAAAATATGTCAACAAAATTCAAAATATTTTGTTTGGCAATGAAGAAAATGAACAATGATTTAAGTTGTTATGTATTATTTTTTGTACAAACTCATATTCTTAATTATTATTATTATTATTATTTTTATTATTATAATGTTAGATAAAATAAAATGTATTTATTATAATATAAACTTAATAAATTTAGTTTTAAGTAAATAATTTATGTTATGATGAGATATTTTAAATTTAACTAATTGTAAATAAGTTTTTTATAATTTTCTTAGGACTTTAAAGTAAAAATAAATCAATTATGCAAAATATAATCTATATATATATATATATATATATATATATACACACTTTATATTTATTAATTATATAACTTAATTTTAAGTTACAATTTAAAATATAATCATGGCCAACATTCTGTTATTTTTCATTAATGCAGCGTACCTAAATTAGTGCTAAATAAATTGCTTCACATTTTAAATTACCTATTAAATGAAAAAAAATTTAATTATATACTTGAACTTGGTAAGCCATTTTATTTTAAAAGTCATAACTATGTTTTTTTTTTTTTTTTTATAAAAATGAATTAAAAAATGTATTTCATATTAATATTTATTTTATATTATTTCATAATTTAATATTATATTTTATTTTTTTGTGATGACAAAAAAAAATATTATATATTTTGTGCAATTTTCATCTTTAATTACAATCCACGTACATATTACAGTAATTATATTTCAAATTATAACTTTCACCTTATATTATTTAACTTGTAAACTTTATGTAATTAAAAAAAGCAGAAAGGATTTCAACTAATGTTCGATTAACAACCTACCTATTTTATTAAAAAAAATGTTTATTTTATTTATTTATTTTTTTTTTTAAAAAAAATCCCGATGGCCAAAAGAATAGGTTTAAATATGATATTTCCCAAAAATAATGTAAGTAAAATGATTGCTTTTATTTAGTAATTAAATCCCAATTTTGTAACCATGTAACCATAGTCTATACCAGAGGCGGCCAAACTTTTTTTGGCTACGATCTACTAAAAATATACTTCACCTTTGAAGATCGACTTTATTGGAAAACATTTTTATAAACCAGAATAAAAGATAAAAACTATACAGATAAAACTCATCGACAATTTGTTCATAACCACCACGATTAATTTTCGTGCACGTAGTTTAAAAATAAATTCTAACTTGATCGACTCTGAAATCTTCCGCGATCGACCGTTTGGCCGCCCCTGGTCTATACTGATATATCATAATTTTCATATTACAATACAAATTTAACATAAATTATTATTCATCATTAAAATCAATATTTTATTTTTATTTTTTTAATATGTTATTGTGATTAAAATATGAATTTAAAAAAAAAAATGTATATTGTATATTTGTAAGTACATATTTGTAATTGTTAAGTGTTTAAGTAATAAACATAAATTGTAAGATGAAATTATTATCTAGTTCAAATTTTAATTAAAAATGAACATAGTTATCTGATTTATTATTAAATCATTACATAAATGATCTTATAAATAATTTATTTAATATTTTGAATTTAAATATGACTACATTAAAAGTTAAAAGATTGGTAAGATTGGTAATTTTTTCCTGTGTGAATGTTAATAAATTTTGAATATTTTGAAATTCATTAAAATCACAAAAATAAAATTATATTTTGATAAAATATAAAAAATATAACCGTAAATAGTTTAGTAAATGCGGAAATTTATAAAATTTTCATTTTATTTACATTATAAACTATGATTTTCACAACAGCTATAAACAATATTTACAAAAGTTATTCACAGTTTTTATATTTTTTAATTAGAATTACAATAATATTATTTAATTAGGTATATTATTGTTTAATATGAAAATTAATTTGTTATGGTTTCTGACAATTCTAACAAATAATATTTTTGATCTCATAATTTCATTAAAAGAATGTTAATACTCTAAATGTTTCGATTAGTAATATATTAAATCTAATAGTAACAAATCATTTGTCGCTCAGAAAAATACTGTAGCAATAGAAAATGTTTGTAGAAATTATGACATTGGTGTTTTTAGAAGTATGGAAACAATACTATTCTTAACTGACTGACGAGATGACTATGAATTATGCGTTTGATTTATATTAATTAAATAGTTTAACATTTATGTTAGTGTCTTGAGTGTAGACTTTGTATTGTACACTGTATTGTCATTGTATGTACATATTTATTTTATGTTCATTACAAAGTCTAAATATTTATGGTTTTATATGGATCCAATTTTGGCTATATTTAATAATATTATGCTTATTATTAAATATTAATCTAAGGTATTTCATTATAAAATGTATAAATAAACTTTTTACATACATAAATTAACTTGTAAAAATGTATTAAAACAATGTTTAACATAAAATTATTTTTATTTTCAACTGCTGAATTGGTGTATTTTGGCATTTAAGAACAATCATTATATCTAATGAACATAATGTAAGAAATTTCATAAATTCCGTACTGCTTGTTTAGTAATACATTCAATTTAATCACTATGCAAAAAATGTTATAGGTACTTGTATATTTATTCGCGCAGGAACTTCCATACCGGTATATTTGTGTTAGTATCAGAACTTTAATTTAGATACCTACCTGCTAACTTGCTACATTCCGCATAGGACATTATTAGGCCCAATTAAAAAAACTATATTAATTCTCACATCTGCGTTATAGTTTGTTATTGTCGCCCTAACGTATTCTTGAAAAAATTACATTAATTTAGTCGGGTTCGACTTGTTTAGTAATAACTTCAGATCCACCTATTTGTCTTATTATAGATAATACGCATAACCATGCTTAAATGTCCACTCACACCGAGGCATACTTACATAAGTTATGCCACCCCTTACTTGTAAATACTAGATCAAATATTTTTTTACACAAGCAATACTAAAATAGACTTAATTATATAGAGTTCATTATATTTATTTATGTAAAGTTTACAATTTATCAGATCAATACATTTGTAAACAAGTTAGCCACTACCAATTTAAATAAATCAAAACAATTCATAGAGTCTTATTTTTTACTATACACAATTTGATATGAGTAAGATACTAACCTAACCTAGCATAGGCGCAAATTAGGGAATTTCAATACGGGGAGCTTTAGCCCTACCATTTTTAAAGTTGAAGCTTTGTCCCAATGCATTTAAATGATCCAAAATAATCATTAAATTATTATTATTAGTTGTAATCACTAAGAGGTGTAATTTTGCAAGTTAAAAATTTAATGAAATAAAAAAAAGTCACAATTATTTAAAAAAATTAATTTATACGATATAAAATGATTGTTGACACACGATATTATCTTATTTTGTATTATTTTTGTATTTATATATAATTGGTAATGTGTGTTTGCTCGGTCTTGATAAAGAAGTAATGCGGGATGATCCCGATAACACATTATTATTATTATTATATTACCTATAATAATTATTATGTATGACTTGTATGACTTAGTATGACTTGAGTCAGTCACGTACGATCGATGTAATCAGCATCGTCTTGTGCGGAATCGTAATAAAGTATATTTTGCGAAAATAATTTGATTTAAATTTTCTTTAAAACTATTTACTCCTATCCGAGAACCAAAAATTTATAATCAAACGTTACAGTCCACAACATGGTTCTTCAGCGACGGATAGAGAGTAATTTAGAGTAATTTAAAGTAAAAAGGCTTAAATAGTGCGAAGCCACGTGTACGCGAACTCAAAAGAGTTGGATTTTGGCTGATTGGAGCAAAGAGCGTGCACCGTCATCAATTCCAAAATAACGAGGTAAGAGATTTTCAATTTCCTTAATAGTTAATACCCACTGGCAATTAACATGTTATCGTGGCTAAAATTCATTATATTTGGGCTTTACCCGGGGAGGTAGTATAGACCAGTGTTTCCCAACTTCTTTTACCCGCAGAACCTTAGCAGGAGATTGAACGTTTTGTGGAACCCCAATATTTTTTCTATATTATTAATACAGACATATGTTTTGTATACTTAAATGAGTGGGTTACCGGACACTTCCGGCACAAGAGTGTCATTAATATAAAAAAAAAAAAACAAGACGGCTTTAACATTTTATTTTATTTATTACTATTACAATATTATAAATGTACATATCAAAGCTTAAAATTTAATATTTATCCCTCATTAACTCTAAGATAGATTCAATGAGAAGATTGGAATATTTTCATAACTGTTTTTAAATTTGGAGTTATTCCTGAAAGTTGGATTCGTAAGTCCGGAGCCGCGTTAAGTTGATTTTGAAACTTATTCATAGTCTTTGTATGTGCCGAAAAGCTACTAACTACGCACCACATATCGGGAAATGTGTCAATTCCAGTTCTATATTGAGTTCTATGTTCAAATCAAAATATTGCTAATTAATTTATATTTTCCCAAATTTCTCACGGAACCCTTAGGTTCCGCGGAACACCAGTTGGGAAACACTGGTATAGATAAATATAATATAACAATATAATAGATTAGCACCTCACTATCTATATTTATTTGCGACAGAAAATAGTGAACGTATATTCTCTACGTCGTAAACTAATTAGTGCGTGTTTTGAAAGGGAAATATAAGATAAGTAATCGTCGACAATTAGAAGTATAGTTGTGTTGCGGACATACATGAATGTAGGTCCTTACGACTCTTACAGTACGGGCGGGTCCACATAAATTATAAATATTAGGGATCGCAGAATGATTATGAGTAATATAATATTCGCAATAATAGAAAGGAACTATTAGTTTAAAACAGAGGGTAACGCAAACACATATTACGAAGACAGGTAATATGTAATAAATATTAAAAAACATTATTATAATTAGGCATCAGTAAGACATGTGTAAAAAGCGGATTCGTTAAGTGCACGGAATATAGATAATGGCAAGCCAGACGACAGGTGGTTGATATTGGTAGGTCCGAGTCACTAATGGATAATGCGCGAATAGTAATATTGACAAGGCCACTAAGGTAATCTGACATTTGGAAAACAACTTTCGCACAGCGTTGCACGGTTGATCTCCACGGGACCTAAGTATATAAGGGGGTTGGGAATAGACCAATATTCAGATGTGGTTTACATGTACAGTCGCAAGCACCTTCACGCCACATTATTTCTCAAATTAATGTTTTGTACTTAGAAAAATTATTAAATAAACAGTTTAAATTACAATTGAGTATTTTTATTGAAGTATAATCCTTAAAAACTTAACCATCAAATACGATTGAGCGACGGCACGCAACAGTTGGCTGCATCGATGTTATAAAAGTTATATTACTACCGTATAAGATAAGAAATATTATACGAATAGAATATAATAGTAACAATGAGCGAAATATAAAATTTAATTAAAGGTACGGTTTCCTAGACGCAACCTGTCGCAGCGGCCAAACTTCTTTTCAATCAGCGTTCGTAGTTAACATACGTTTTTAGTTTATTATCAAACTTGTTCGAGTACGCACGTCTTTTTCATTTAATTTTGCAATGAATAGTTATATTTTTAATAATAATAACATTCTTCTAACAGTTTTATTATTATTAGAAGAAGAAGAAGACCAAATTATAGGTGCTACTTCATTGCCAAAAAATAGAAAACCTATACATGAAATATTTAAACAACGGGACAGTGAAGGATTTTATGAAATTCTTATCAATAGACATTTAAAAAAACAACAATATTAAATTTTGTGAATTTTTCGGTTTAAATTGTCAACAGTTCGATTTTTTATTATCTTTAGTAGAAAATCAGTTAATTTTACAACCTGCAAATTATATAAAAAAAAACCTATAACACCAGCAGAAAAATTGGCAATCATTTTAAGGTAAATTATTTATTTATTTCATATTTGAATCAATAAAGTATTAACTAAATTTTCTTTTATAGATACCTTGCCACTGGCGAATCTATAAGATCTTTGTCGTTTTTATTTCGCATAAGTCATTGCTATTTGAGTAGTATCATAAAAAATACATTGGCTGCGTTAAAAATTAAATTGATGTCGATTTTTATGCCTGGTATAAAAGATATTCATTTTAAACAAAAAGCTGCAGAGTTCGCTTACAAATGTTGAACCACAGACCTCGGTGAAGTCGATGAAAAATCTGATAGGCAGAGTGCTAGGTGAATCGCATTTAACGTATGAAGAATTAAATACTATACTAACCCGGGTAGAAGCATGCCTTAATTCCCGTCATTTAACCGAAATGTCGTCCGATCCTTCCGACCTAACATATATTACTCCTGCCCATTTCCTAATTGAAGAATCTCTGATGGCCATACCGGAAAGGGATGAAAGTACAATGCCGGCGAATCGGTTAGACCAATGGCGTCGTGTTTGATAATACACGCAAATTCTGTGGAAACGATGGAGCCACGAATATTTAAACCAATTGCAAGTAAGAAAAAAATTATCAGTGGAAAGGAGCCCCACCCTGGGTATTGGGACAATCGTTCTGATACGTGATGAGAATCTTAAGCCACTAAAATGGAAGATAGGAAGGGTACTGTCGGTCCACCACGGAGAGGACGGAGTGATTCGTACGGCGTTGGTGAAAACTATGAAGGGCGAGTACAACCGGGTGGTACGAAATTTGTGTCCACTTCCGTTTGATGATAACATTGGGTTAAGTTAAGATCGTAAAAAAAAAATCGTTTAAAAAAAAAACCCCCTTTTTTGCATTGTAATGAGACAAATCCAAATGTATGTATATATGTTTTGTTAAAATTAATTTTCCTTTTATATTTATATCTACACTTATATTATCGGTTTTTTTTTTTGTTTTTTCTTGTATGAATTATATATTGTTTAAATATTAGAATATTTCTAGGCGGCGGTGTTGACGCACGATATTATCTTATTTTGTATTATTATTTTTGTATTTATAATTGGTAAAGTATGTTAGTTTTTCTCGGTCTTGATAAAGATGCGGGCTGATCCCGATAACACATTATTATTATAATTATTATTATATTACCAATAATTTTTTTTTTTTATTTAAGAACTTTCAGTATAAACTATTATAGTTCAACAATTATAGATTGATACATGATAATATTTATAGATCAACGATTAGATAGTGAAATATTTAAATGTAACAATAAAAACAACAGAAAAAACTACATATACTGTTGATACAAATAATAATAATAATAATATGAAATTAATGAACAAAATAATCTATAATAATAATAATGATTAGGGAGTTGATAAAATTAAATTTAAATTGTTTAAAACAGTCATTAATGACTTAATTAATAGAAACAAAATATTTGAGATTTCACTAATACGTTTATTTAAATTAACCAATTAACCAATAATTCGGCTGGTGATAAATTGGTTGTAACATCGGCGTAGATACGAGTTTGGTTGGAACTGCAGGGGTTCTCAGACTGCATGGGTTTAGTAGGCCTAGAAAAGGAGGTTGAAAGTCTTCCCTCTTTTTGTTGTTTTTGGAAAGAAGTGGCGTGTTTTTTGTAGACTGGGTATCCTTTATACGAAGAGGTATGAGCCCCTGCGCAAAGTGCGCATTTAGCCGGTAGACTGTTATTTTTGGAACACTTGTCGGAGAGATGTTCTTCTCCGAATTTGACACAGCGAGGTTTGAGTGAACAATATGTTTTCGTGTGACCGTAAGCCTGACATTTATGGCACTAAAGTGGACCGATTTTGGATTTAAGTAGTTTTTTCGACCACCACAGATGTATGCAATAACCTAGTAGTTTTGAAGATGTCCGAATTATTGATATTAGGATTTAGGTCTACGAAAAATAATGGTAGAAATAATTTGTTCTTTTTGATATTTTCATCATGTCTAACCGAGTAGCTAACCTTAGTTATAGCATCAGAGATATAAGAACTAAGAGTTGATTGATGTAGATTTCTGATTACGATCCTGAATGGTCGAGAGCTAGGGGGGGCAAAATGTGTGGATGTGTGAATGTGTGAATGTGAACGATTTTGCCTTCTGGTACCATATTTTGGAAGGGGATTACATTCCTCTTGATATCATAAACTGTTGACAATTTTTTGGCTATGTTGTGTGTAAGTTGCGTACCGAATTTACTATAGTATTTAGGTACAACGTCCATGGGGCAGATGCGCTTAATGACGTTGACCTTTCACTTACTCAGATAACGGAGCGTATATCGGCATACGTACGCACTTGACGGTATGCGAAACCGAACTAATATTACCTATATTACAAATTACATTATTACAATATTACAATATTTAATATATTGTATGACTTGAGTCAGTAGCGTAAGATCGATGTAATCGGCACCGTCTTGTGCGGAATCATAATAAATAAAGTATATTTTGCGAAAATAAGTTGATTTGCATTTTCTTTAAAATTATTTACTCCTATCCGAGAACCAAAAATATATAATCAAACGTTACAGCTCACAACAATGATAATTAATCGGGAGGGGGGCATAATTCACATTAGGGGGCTTAGCCCCCCCCCTCAAAGATCCACCCGATTTGCGTCTTTGGGTTCTAGGAACTGTAATATTTTTTAAAAATGATCTGTAGTTCAATAATTTTAAATGCCGTCCTAGGCGTGGGCCTATGTCTCCTACTCCTTGAATCGGACCTGCATGTAACAAATAATGATACTTGTTAGTTAGATCATTTTACTTGCCACGGGTGCCCTGAGGCTGATTGTTATCAACTATGCAATGAGGAAAAAATTCACATAAATCGCAAAATAAAAGTAATATTTTAATCATTCAATTGACATAGTAGAGCTACTCCGCGGTATATCCAATGAGAAGCTTTTTTGTTGGTGTCGAGAAACATTGGTAGAACGTAATTGGTAGAATGACCTGTTGTCGACAGTATTCCTTTTCTCTCCGAAGTCTTATATACAGGACATGTGTATCTACTGCCTTGCTTTAATTCAACTTTCTTTATAGGTTTGAACCATACTAATGGTAATACATCACTTAATACTTTTGGCAACTGTTCATCTAGCACCATCCTGTTTTAAGACAAATTGTTTAGTACACCGGTGTATACGTGCAGAACTAATGTATTGTAAGCATAGAACAATGTATGTCCGTGTAAAATGTTGACAATTTTTTTTTTTAAACATTTTTAATATAGAACAAAAATATAACTCGCCTAGTTCTATTCCAACGAGCGCCGTCTAAAAATAAACCGTAGCAATATACTCCGTCTTTGGGAGATGCATTGATTCGATCAGAGCGTTGAACTTGAAAATCAAAGCATAATTGATCTATCGGTATAGTGTAACGACGAGCAAAATTTTGCATTGCTCCGGTAAGGAATGCTTGTGTAAAAAATAGTCCACTTAACCAGAAATTATCTGGTTTGCCATTGTCGTACCAAACCTTAAATCAGAATCAAATATGAAAAATCAAAAATATCAAAATAATCTATAGAATAATGTGACAGTAACAGATGTATTTATGAAATCAATACATCAGTTTATTAATATGATATAATATTTTTAAAATTAATAACTGTAATCGAATTAATTTCACTATTGAAAATTATAGATTTTATTTTAAATAAACATAATATATAAAGAATGAAAGTTAAGCGTGTCGAATTGAATTATCTATTTTAAGAAAATATTGATAACACTTATGAAAATAGTTATTGTACCTACTAATCAACTTATTTTGAAATTTCAACATTTGATTCTAAAATCGAAATTTATTGACCAATTAATTCTAGTTGTTTATGCAACACGAATGGGGTACATCATTATTTTTTTACAAGTAAAACAGCATTAACTGTAGTAATTTTAATCAGAAATGATTTATTTTAACATCAAATAAATCTCATTTTTGTTTTTAGTTATTATCAAATACAATTATGAATAATATTTGTGCATTTATATTATTAATTTCCATGATGTCTAAGACATTTTTATTAATGTTAAATTAAACGTTGCATGATAGGTTTTAATTTAAAATATATTGTTTCACTCTAACTCTGTTTTAATTTTTGTAAATTTAATTTTTTTAACAAAATACATCGAATGTGTAATTAATATATTGTTAATAAATCATTCTAAACATCAAATAAGTAAAAAAAAAAAACCATTTTTAAGAAATTAATGTACACACACTCATATTGCTGCAATGACTTACTTGTAAGAAATCAAGTCGTTCAATAAAATTAGTTATATATCCACCTAAAGACTTAAGACTGGGATAGGAAAACTTTGACCAAAATGCCGGGTATTTGGCCACAGATAACGATATGGCCATGGTTTCTAGTTCAGACGTCATTACAATAGCTCCTTTGATGGCTTTTATAAGATCTTGCAAGCTTTTACGAATAATAGACAGTAGTATGTTAAAACGTTCCATTTCTTGAACAAGAACCGTGTTCATAGACTCTGTGTACAAAACGGGGTATTTTTCTGTTGCCATTTCAATATCAAAATTCTTTGGAAGCTTTTCTAGTATATTGGAAGCAATTGCTATCAATAAATTCTCAGTTGCATCAGGATCGTCACTACCACCACTGGATTCTGCAATCAATATATACGAGTCAAAAAGATGCATTGTACTCTGTAAATCACGAGTAATGCCCGAATTCAAATGCAATCCAAATACTTCTGGACTTGGGACGGCCGGAATTTCCTTGAAAAAATTAATTTATCATTTAAAGCTTTCATTTTAATTGTATGATGGTTTATTTTTTTCATATTATACTTCAATTTGTTTTATAAAATCGCTGTAATTGTTGCTATAAGGAATTCCATATTTGGAACTAATATCACAGAACAAATAATGGGGATCTTCGACTACTGACGGACAACAAAAAATAGACAAAATTGTGTTCAATGTACGCCTGTCCCAGTCATCAGTCACTCTACCACCGTAGTTGCATTCACCAGTCAAGTATGTAATAGCCTCGAACGGTATTTCGTCGAATTCGTTTATATACATCTAGAAATATTTTAATTAATCACAGTTTTATAGGTACCTAAACATGTATTTATACTTGAAGTTGTTGTATAGAAATGTGATAGTCAGATTCATTGAAACCGTATGGTATATTCCAACCGATCGGTCCAAATTTTTTTCTTTCTTGGATGACGGCATGGAAAAACGTAATGCCATACAAAAGTTTTGTGAATATGTTTTTTTTACCAACACACCCATCGAAAAACACTTCATCTTTTACGGGATAAGACTGATAATTTCTTAACATATTTGCTTGTAGACCAGTTGGAGGTTCGTTAGTCATTTTAACACCATTTTGGAGAACGGAAACTGGGAACTGAAATTATTTAATTCTCAGTATTATATATGCAAATTTAATATAATATTAGCTGTATTTTCTACTTTGTCCGATGGGTAGCTCGTCAACCACAGTCTAAATTCACTATTCACGTTTGATATATCGAACGAATCGCATATAGTTTCTAACTGTTCCATCCATGAGGTAGCTAAATGACAATTTTGTAAACAAACCCATCCTCCCGTTTTTTGTGCATTTTGTATTAATGATTCAGCTATAGGACCCTATAATTTGTTTTACATTTTTTAATACATAATTTGATAACATTTTTATAATTTACTTGTCCTTGGCCCAACGAAACACTTTGAATTGTTTCCGTCTTATCCATTTTATTTGCAAACTGTAACAAGCTTACCATAGGATCTACCCCTGGGGAGAGGATAAATATTAACGGATTTAGACAATACGAGTCATTGTAAGACTTTTGTATGTCAAATGGTGGTGGTTGAATGAAATTTTCTCCAAGTTCTGATTCAATCAATTTTATTATAATTGGTATGACTTTGTCTGGTCTAATAGTACGGACAACAAGGATGCGCTGAAAATCACTCAACTTATCGTACCAGGGATTAGGAAACGTTGAATCTTCCTGATCAGCTTGATCATAGTATTCTTTCCAGTCATTCACTTTTTGTATAAAATCATTTTTTATGCCTACAATAGTTAACAGCGTTAATGTAGCATATTTTAAAAACAATAATAATGAATATCAAAAAATGTACCTTTAAACGTGTTTAATTCATCCAAGCGACATAGCTCATCCCAATTTTTATCCTGCAACCAATTTGATGCAGGATTTGGTATATTGTTTTTTAAACCTACACCACCAGTCATAAGAAACATAAGTTCTTGTTTGTCGATCTTTTTTTCTGATCTATAATCACGAATATTGTACAATAAATGAAAATTAAAGTAAATTCATAATATTAATAACAATTACTCACAGCATTATTGTAGTACACATGATAAAAGAAAATAACGTCTTATCAATTTCGAATAATGACCGACATACATTAGTGTACAAGTTATAAGTAAATGTATTTTTGAGGGCTTCCAATCGTACATTGATTATTTTCGATTTCTTTCTAAATAAACAATTAATAATTATTATATCTTGAAACGTTTGAATTACAAATAAAGTTTTCTTATGATAGTGTAATTAAAGGATCTAAAATAAATTTATAATTATGCATATAATAATATAATTATGCATTATATAGTCCTTAAAAATATATTTTTATTTGATATTTTTTATAACATTTATTGGTTACATTATATAGTATACAGTGGAACCTCGATAAGTCAAAAACCTTGATAAGTCGAAAAAATTCTTGCGTAAACCTCCATTACTTGAAAAAAAAACTATAGATAAGTCGAACATATTGTGCTCCGAATATAGACGGATAATGACGGATAGCTTTATAAACATTTGTCTATACGTTCCGATGATTTTTTCTAATCGCGTTTATTGTGGTTATTATCGTATGTATTTATTAACCTCGGCACACAACAGTATTTTTCATTTGCATCGGTATTGCCAGTAGTGCCAGCGCTAGGGGAGGACAAGTAAGATATTTGTCCAGGGCTTCACGTTTGTTAAAGGGCCCCTGTGATTTTAAATTATCATCTTAATACCGTGAGACACATTGATATTTTATATCCTAAGACTAATGTCCAGGGCCCCGCAATACCTAGCGCCGGCACTTATTGCCAATTGCTACTTAAAAACTTTAATACATGCATACATTTTAAAAACTCTTTAAATCGATTTTTTTTTTCTAAAACCTTGGTAACTCAAAACTACTAAGGTCGAGACCTCGATAAGTCGAAAAAAATTGTATTTCCCTTAAGTTTCGACTGTATATTAATGATATAAATAACTTACATAAACCAAAAAAATATAAGTTTAGAACATATATAAGATTTGATAGTAAATATAATAACAAGCTGTTACTTACGCTGTTTCGACTGTCATAATAAATATATTGATGAACCAGGTTAAAGAATATTGATACATTGGATCAATATTAGGCAAATCAGTTATGCAGTAATAAAGAATAGAACAGTGCTTAGCTAATGGGTTATATTGTAATCTGAATTTATCAATAATTGCAACTGTTTCAACTGAAGCCGCTTGTTTCTTTATGATTTGTATAGCTAGTAACTATTGAAAATACTAATAATGAAATAATATGTATGCACAAATAGGTAATTTGTTCTAAATTTGTTTAACCTTTGCATTTTCTAAAACATCAACTGCATCCTCATCTTCTAAAATGTTTCCCGGTGCTGAAAGAATTTGTAGAATATTGTTTTCAACGTTCAAAAGTGTTTTAGCATTTTCAGCACCTTCCACAATTAATTTCTTTCTTTTGAATTCCAAATCAGGTCTGATATTTAATTTAATTTTAAGTAAAATTTATTTCAGAAATCAAATAGAATAATTTATTATGTGTAAAAGTTTACCGTTCTTTGGCCACAGCAATCCCTAAAAGTTGATCTTCTAGCCCTTCTACTGTCAATGCAAAATTGATAATAGTTACTTTGTTAAATATTTCTGGTAAATAATGAGGATTTCTTAGTTTTGATGTGATATACAATCGGAAATTTGGGTTATACTCAATGGTATTATCTCCAAGTGTAATAAACATCGTTATTCCTAGAAAATAGATAAAAAAAAAAATTGTATATTTTACTTGTTATTAATATGAATTGTTAAGTTTATTTGAAATTTTTAATTTTTGATATTTTAAGATGAAGTATAGGTTGTTTTAATTCATATTTTATTTTTTTTCTCTTAAATATGTAATGATCGTATACCTTGTCTATATATCTGCTTTAATAATATTGGATCTAAAGGAGGATCTAATTCTTCTTGTACATTTTCAATTAATATGGGTTTTCCGATTTCAATAGCAATTTCAATTATTTTCATGTAATTCGGGTTTGTCAATTTAACAATAACGATATCATTCGATTTTTTCCATTGTTTTAATCCATTTGTGAGCCTGACCTTGAGGATCAATCAGCAAAGAATATCTTTGAGATTCATCCATAATAATGGCATTGTCGATCGAAAACAAATCCATTGGTAAACCATCTATGGTCCAATTTTGAATTTTAATTGGTACACCAAGAACATTGATCAAACTGTAACTTTTTGAGCTGGGAATTTTTAAATTAAGGCATAATGTTCGCCATTCATTGATGATAGATGATCTGAAATTAAAAATTAACAAATTATGGATGAGCACACAATTTGTTTTATTTATTATTGCCAGTGGCGTAGTAAGGGTATGGTGAACTGTGACTATGCCAGGGGCGCAAATTGCAAAAGGGGCGTAAAATTGTGCAGAAGTCATTATTTTATCATATAATTAAATCGACATTTTTCCACTATACTTTTTGAAATACGTAAATTTTGTCTATTTGTACACATTACGTGTGAATTTAATGATGAAATTATAAAAATAGGGTATTTAAAAAAAAAATTTCATATGAAAAAATTATCGATGAATTTGTCAGTCATAAAGTTAGAAAAGCAAATTTTCAAAATTTAAAATTAACATTGTATTAATAAATTATAAGTATAAATTGTTTACATATAAATACATGTGAAATTAAAGGTTAAAAAAAAAATATTATGACATAAAATTATAATTGGTTAAAAAGGTAAATTTTTCTAAGTTTGCCAGTAGCATTAGTCATTTTTCCTACGCCACTGATTATTGCTTATATGAATACCTGAAATTTGACGTAAATGGAGCCAAATAAGCGATTATTCCACAAGATATGAGAATATCACCAGGTATGCAATCGTAGTTGATCTGAAGTTCATTAGCACGATCTGACCAACGATCTTTCTCACTGCCAAGACTTCCTGAATAATTATAAATTTTATTAATTATATAAATCTTTCCAGTAAATATTTAAACAATGTAAATAAACTAACTTATTAGTTTTTCAGCTTTGATTAACTTTCTTTCACATAATTCTACTTCTGTAAGTAATTTTTCTTTATTTAAAATAGTATCCGCCAAACGCTCTTTTAGGGAATCTAATCTATCCTGTAGTTCTTTTACTTCATTTCGTTTTTTTATTAATATCGCCATAGTTTCTTCGTATTCTGTATTAGCTATCTCCAATTTTTCTTTTTTCGGTGCTACGATTTTTACTACTCTATCATACATATCCAACGCAATAATCCATTTGCATAAACCTTCTGCAGCACTAGAAGCTTTGGCTACGATTGTTGGTTTAAAATGTGGGTCCGGAAGATATGTAAGTCTTATGTCATCCATAACTTTTACAGGTATGTTATCTTTATCATACTTCTTTAATTTGTCTAAAAAGTTGATATCACCTAATAAGCGTTTACTTGGGCCCCAATAATCAAGTATCTAATAAATACGTAATTTTTTTGTTTAATTTATTATACGGCTATTATTTTTGATAAATCAAACATTACATTATATCCTGGCCTTTTTGGGTCGGGGATTTTATCTGGTAATACGTTGATCATTACACACACTGCTGCCATTACAGTTTTCACTATTATAGGAGGGTTTTTCATTGATTTTACTAATGTAATATCAGACGGTTTAAGAGTATTCAAAGCATTAATTGCATCTAAAATACATGTAAATATATTAGTTTTAAAGTAAATTAATTTTTAATTGTGTACGCATGAAAATAATTCTATATAAATTATTTTAAAATAAATTTTTGATTATTTATATATAATTTTCTCTTTATATATTGTAATCTAATATCAGTTATAGTTTTTTTTTTCATGTTATATTTAAATTAATTATTGGCACAAATTCAGAATTAGTTTGATTTAAAATTTAATACTTTAAGTTAATAAAAAACAAAATAAATATTATTTTTACTGATATTATTTTGTTTTTTTGTAATTTATATTAATCGTGCAATACTTTTTAAATAATTTTTAATCCAAAAAGTATATACTTCATATTTATAATTCATTACCTTCCAAAATAGGTATAGCCAAAGCTAAGTCAGTTTCACATTCTAATTTTAATTTATTTGCAGATTCAGCTTGGACATTAGCTGCTTGTTCATCTACCTGTACTCTAGCAGTAGCTTTTTCAACTTCAACAGTTTCACGAGAAATTATTTTCATCATTTCATCAGCCTCTTTTTGAGCTTGTTTTAATTGAGGTTGAAGCTTAAATAAGTCTTCTTTCATCTGATTTACTTGTACTGTGGCATATTCTAATTCTCGAAGGCCACTGACATAACGCATTTTTAATTCCATAATTTCTTTTTGCTTAATACTAGTACAGTCAGTGTATGCTTTAATTAAATCTAGATATGATGCAGATGTAATATATGTACGACGCCGAGTGGTAGAATAAAATTCTGACGATAATTTCCTATAATTTAATATATTATATATTGTATTATACTTGTATTAATTGAATATAACTCACCTAGCATCGACATGAAACCGTTGACAAACAGTAACTGCAGACATTTTTATTTTTTCAGGAAGATTTGCATTTTTCAAGTACTTATGTGCAACCATTTCCAATGCATCTTCAGGCCAATCTTCAAACCAGTCAATCGTACAACAACTAACCATTGATGGATAAAGTCTCAGACGATTTCTAAATGAAGATCCGATTGGACTAAAGCAAAGACATAAATGCAAATTTTGTTTACATCGATTGATGAAATAATTAAAAACAACTAATGGAGCAATATCCAAATTTCTGTTTCCTCCTTGAGCAGCTAATCGAACCATCTATTAAAAATATTAAATTTAGATTGAAACATAGGAAGTGCGAATTCAAATACTTAAATCATAATTATACCTCTAGAATATTTTGTTGTTCCTCTAATGTAAATAGATTTGGAACTTCTCCTGAATTTAACAAAGCATCAATATCTTGTAAAAAGTATTCTTCTTTTATTTGTCCTTCGGCGAACAAAAAAATTGTTGGACGATTTCTTCCTCCAGAATCCTTCAATATTGTCTTCAAATCATCTCTCCATTCGTTAAACCCGTAGTTTTTGGTAATCTTCGGTTGAAAAACATTGTAACCATACATTGTTGCTGCTAAACGTGTGAGTGATTGTCGTCCTGAGCCTCCTACTCCTACTAATAATGCAGATCCACCGGATATGCTTATTATTCTACAGATCTTTGATAGATGCTCAATAGCGTACCTGTGTGTGTGTGGTCAGTAAAAAAAAGTAATAAATATTAATTTTTAATTATTATATAATTTAAATTAGTTTACTTAAACAAAACTATGTTTAATTTTGGATTATGAGTCGTGTCATATTCATCCATCATCATATGAGCTAATTCTACGAATTGGTTGTATGATGCTGGTTGTTCATACTTTTTGTCTTCTATGGCATCAATATCCAATACATTTGTAAATAAAAGATTTCTCATATCTTGGTAGATAATCGGCTAAAAACAAAAAATAATGTGCATGATTGTAATATTTTCATAAAATGTAATTAATTATTTGAGTTTAACATACAGTTGTATTTGATAAATTTTTAAAAACAACATCAAATATTTCTTTGAAATTGGAACCAACATTCAAACGAATTTCATTAAATAACCATTCTCTATCTTTATCATCAACTAGACGATCGAAAAATACTCGCATTACTTCATGTACCCATAATCTTAATAAAGTTAGAAATATATTAATAAATTTATATTTTTCTTTATAATTTTCAATTTATCAATGTTATATACTTCACAAATAATGACCGATGAGTAAAGCTTTCTTTACGAAACATGAGTATTCCATTCGTTACTTTCGAAATATCTCTTAAATTAAATAGGTAATGTGATTTATTTGGAGTAGGAGCTAATTTTTGTATAGCTGATCTATATAAATCAATTGTTGATTGAACTAGATTATCGATAATTGGTATCACTTCTAATGTAAAACCATTTCTCTGCAATTCAGTAGGAATTTATAAATGTTGAAAAAAATATAAATTTTAATAATGTTTACTCTCAATCCAATTTGAAGTAATGTTGAGAATATTTTGTTTATACTTTCATCGTCAAACGAGTTTATAGCAAACAAGCCGAAATGTCGCAGGAATCTAGCATACACATCTTGTCTACTTCCACCAGTTGGACCAATTGCAGTCAACAAGAGAACATCTTGAAGATAAACTTTGGTTGTATCCAGTAAATCGTACCAATATCCATGATCAAAATATTGTCTCAATAACTCAATTGGGGGCTGCGCTCCATATTGTTCTTTGATAGGCATATTCATGTCATCGACAAATATTACACAGACCTTTCCAATGGGTGGACCATATACACCACGTTTGCGTTTTATGAGCTTAGATAAAATTATTTCTTGAGTGAAGTTAGCTGATGTTTGAATTGTAAAAGTGACAAAAGATGGAACATATTCATCCAAGGATAATTTGTTCATCATATAATTTTTTACGTAGAAACTTTTTCCTGTGCCCGTTGGACCAAACAGTAAAAACGGTTTTCGATTAGAGATAAACATGTCAACTAAGTGCATGTACCTATGAAGATGAATAAGTTTTAGACGTATTAAACATACAATTTTTTTTTACATTATATTACCTAGCAGTGTCAAGAGTTGGTACTAAAGTTTGTTCTATATTAGCCATTTCTTCGAGTTTATTATTATTTCTAATTTCCAATAAATGTTTCCAAGATCCCTTTGATTTAAAGATAAAAACATAATCATACAACGTTCCCTCGTTGGGTATAATAATGCTTAATGGGCTTAATTCTGCTGGTGGTGTAAAATCAGGGATCTCACCCTTCCACAATTCTTTAAAGTAAAGGTCGAAGACTGGTCGTGATTTTGAATCCAACGTTCCACCAAAACCCCAAATAGAAGCATATACAAAAGCTCCTTGTAAGTAATTCGTAAAGAATTCATAAAAGTTTACGTTTGTATTGGTATCTTTGCCTGGTTGCTTGTTTGGTTTGATTGCATTTTTCAACTGCATCTCCAGTATGTTTAAAACATTTCTATGAGATATTACAAAACAAATTAGATATGAAAAAGTTAGTAGGTAGTAGATTAACTTACAAAACAGTATTGGTTTCTCCAGCATTAGTTAATTGAACACAATTACGACGCACAAAGTATAAACATGGAGGAGTTAACCAATCAAATAAGCACATTATGTCAATTCCATTTTGATCAGAAGACCAAAATTCAGGACAAGTTTTTAACCAGGATACAATTAAAGGTCTCCAACCCAAAATTGTTGGATCTAAATAAATCATTCCACAGCGAGACACAGTAGCGGGAGAAGCCTATTTTATTTTTTTTAATTATAATAATTTTATTAATAAATTATAAGTTACATTTAATCTTACCTGTGAAAGGTCCATAGCTTCAAATATCATTGACATACAGTCTGGCATAGCAATTACTTCACCAGAACTTAAGCACAATTTTTTTGTTATCATCTAATACTGTATTCATATTTTCTATCCAAACTGCATCAACAGGACCGTCAAATATCAACCACTTTCTATTTGTTGTCTCTGACATCGAAAACGTTCTATATATATATATATATATATATATATATATATCGATTGACAATTGAATATTTATTTTTATAATAGTACATAATACTTTCAACAAAATAACATTACCTAAATGTATTTGCCACAATACCGTCAGACCATTCATGTGAAACTTCATCGAAACACCCATAAAGCTGACCCATAGTCAATGATTTAGGATTAACTGTTTCATATTCAACTTTTTCTTCGTCTTGGTTAAGTTCATTCTGTAAATTTAAAGTTTCTGCGAGCAAATGAAGTAGTGAAGTTTTTCCTCCAAATGGATTTCCAATCAACATAAAACCGTGTCTAACTATCATCATTTCATATATTTGAATTAATTTTTCCAAAGAAGAGTCAGTTGGTTGTAAATTCATTCTTGTGCATATCTACAATAAATACATAATTTTACAGAGTTCAAACTCTTATATTATCATTAACTTACAATAGTTGCGGCACTAATTAAATTTCTATAGTCAGGATTTGGTAACGTTACGCTCGGAAATAAATCAGAAATAATTCCCTTAAACAAAGGAACATCTTTGTTAAGAAATTTAGCGGAATTTACATCCAAAATAGATCTGAGTAATAGTTCTGACTCATCATCGTTTGGAAACTTCATTTTTAAATTCCCAGCTGCTATAAGAACCGTTTTAACAGCACGCATACCTTTAAACAGATACAAATATTAATTATGGTTCTACAATATGAACATGATTTTTTTTAACCATAATCATAATGCGATTGAGATGACAATTGTTCGGAGCAAAGCTTGTACGTAGTTACAATTTTAACAGATAATTCTCTTGCATTCACAAATCCATATGAGTATAATGATATTTCTCCAATCAATGCATAATCCGGTACCATCATAGCCACGGTTCTAAATAGAACCTATTAAACCGCATAAAATATGTTTTATAATTGTTGTCTTCATTTATAATGATTTAAACCTTTAAATTATCAGGAAGTTCAGATCTGCCAGCGTATCCCGGATTCATAGTAATGCAGATATAACATCTTGGGTTCAATTCTAACTCTGTGCCTTCAAAATTGAAAGTTTTCAAGTTCGTTCTCACTGCTTGAACTATACATAGAATTTGTTGTGCCACTACTGATAATACTTCGATGTCAATTCGGTTAAACTCATCGAAACAAGCCCACGCTCCAGCCGAAGCAAGTCCTTTGAAAAACTACGAATACGATTTTAATAACAATTATTATTATTAATTAACGTGGTATGAAATTTTTTTTAGTTTACCTTTCCCATAGCCAAGTAATCTAGACTATCGGAGCAATTAAAGACAATGCACTGCACAGCTAAAGCTTTTGCTAAATCTTTTGTTGTTTCAGTCTTACCAGTACCAGCTGGCCCCTCAGGAGCACCATTTAAGTGTAAATGATAAGCACTAATTAGCGTACGGTAACATCTATCCGTTAAAGGAGTGATTACAAGTCTTGGCGTATTTCCAAGGTATTCGTATGCATAATTTATAGTCGCGTTTGTAATACGAACTAAGGTATCATTTTCCCAGTAATATCTGAACATAAAATATAGTTATAATAATTAAAAACAAAAATGCTTGTAGAATTTGATACCTCAACTGACTAAGCCATTTAAAGTCCATATGATGAGTAACGTTATTGTTAGCCAAATCGTCAACAACATCTCTGCCATGAACATCCAACGTAACCAACGCACTTAGTGATATTCTTGTTTGCTTGCTCAATTTACTACGTACTAAATCCACAATATCATTTAATTGGTTCTAAAACAATTTAGACATAAAAACCAAAATATTTGTGTTTAAGAGCCAAGAAGTACAGTCAAAAATTTATAGTAAGTTCGCATTTGATCAGGTTTTCCCATATTCAGTACTTCATGAACTTCAGTTGTCCAAAATATTTGACCAACACATAAAACACTTTGACCTGGCCATTTTTGTACCCACAAGGTTCGTTTTATTGTTGGATATTCAATAAATGCATTTTCAATAGATATTCTAATTGATATAATCATTTGTTCTTCTACCTATATAAAATAACAATAAAAAAAAATAAATATAATTGTAAATGGATTCCGATATTATTTTCATATTTCTTAAGTATAACCTGAAGGAGCCACTTTTCTACGCTTCCACGGGCTTCTACAGTAGAAATATATTGGCTTAAAGCAATTTCTTCTCCTTCACTACTTAACATTTTCAAAATGTCCAAATTCTCATTAAACTCAAGTTTAGCTATTCCCTCAAAGCATTTTTTTAAATGAGGCTGAACTTTTTTGGGATTTTTGGTCTCTGATAAGATTTCTAACATTTCGTCGTTTGAAAGAAAGAAAAATCTAAATTCGGATAGTATTTCCATCAGTTAAACCCTGTATAGGTTGTGCAGTTGATTTTAATTTTACCTTGGAAAGTATAAACGTTTGTTCTCCAAGTAACTATTAACTCCTGAGTTAATAGTTTCCATCAGCTCCATACAATGAATCAATGATTCTAATATGCCTTCCTGACCAATACATTTAATAGCTAATGGATCTACATCTATCAAACCTAAAATTTTTTTGATAGTCACATTTATTTCCTACAAATTACAATACAACATTTATAAACAAATAAATATAATAATATACAGATAAATTAATTTCGCTTATTTGAGATTTCTTACATTAAATAGTGCTCCTTCTTTGGGCATCTGAGCAACTATATCTTTGGAACTAAATATTGGCATAAGGTAAAGCCATTGTATCTGCACTTTTGTCCACTCTTCTAGTGTATTATTCATACGATTAACCGTTTCATACCATTCTTTTATTTCCTCTCTAATAGGTTTAACAAAGGCTGATCCACGGATTGATATAGTCTTAATCAGATGATCATCAAGTACTGATTGTATATCATCTACTCCAGATAATATATTTATTTTTGTATCCCTTAAATATACAAAAATATATAAACGAGTGGCGTCAATTATTTATAGTTAATTTAAAATTGTAATAAATTATACTTGTATGGGCTAGTAGATAGTATAATGGAAGTCCAATCTTCTTTCATTTTTTCCAACGATTTTCTTAATTGTTCTTCTTTAGTGGCACTTATGCTGATGACATCAAACCTAAAAAAATATTGGTTAGTTATTAATAGTAATTTAATATAGTTTAAATTTAAGATCAGTATTCATAAATATTAACATGAAGAATACGATGTCTGGGTGTATATTGCTGACAATCTCAATTTATAATGATTTGATTAATTTATGCATCTATTTTATTACTATAGTATTTACTATTTAATGTAAAAAAAAATCATTAATGTAGGTATTGTATATTTATGATGGAACAAGATTAGTTTAATAAGTCAGTTTTACATAAATCCTACTGAATCTTTATATAATTTATGTCCATTTTATTAAATAAATAGTAATAATACTTATCTAATTATGATGAAGTATTGGAAATTATATTAAAAAAATAAAATTGAATGTTTCAACAAAGAAATGATTTTAATTTCATTTGAGCATACGTATGAAAAACATGAGAAAAACTTATATTCTCCAGTGACAGATAAAACCATATTATAAAACGAATAAATTGTATTTATAAAAATTATAACTATTGCAAATTGTAAATTTGTAAATTATTGTAAATTATATATGCATTATACACAATTTGAATAATATTAAAATACATAAAACAAGTTAACTAAAATTAATAATAATTATTGATTCATATTGAATTATAGTAAAAGTTCTTGAACTTTTTCTTGAAATTATCATAAATACGTTCACAAAAAATGAAATAATGTAACTTACTGAGGTAGTTTGTCTTCTAGTTTTAAATCAATCATTTTTGTAAGTGTTGTACCAGCATTTGGAGTCAAGTCAAATCCAATTAATTCAGACATATCTGCCCAATGCCGTTCTTTTAAATCTGGATTACACATAATTCCAACAATTGGCATGTATTGCTAAAAAAATATAACATATTTCCTATGTAGAATTTTCGTTCTCTCATTTTCATTATTTTTTATTTTGATATAATATTTGTTTAATCTAAATGATTAGATACGAGTATACAAACCCTGAACTCTTTCATGCTTTCTATTGTTTGTTGTGCTATTTTTAAAGGCGCCGGAAACTCGTCCAATTCAGTACCACCTATTATACCCTCATATTTTTTATTAGTATTTTGTGATAACATTTCTTTACATTTGATTCTCAAAGACTTTTGCTTTTTCATTGCTTCCCTATGATAAAACAAGAAACGATTCTCAAAATTAGATTATATTTCAAAACGTTCTTAATAATTACTTATAAAAGTCATCGAAGACTATCTCCATTTCAGGTAAACTAAGATCGTCAAAATCACCATGCATCCACGCATTGTACTTCAACAACCAAGTATAGGAAAATATAATAATATCGACTAATGGTTCAATAAAATTCTACGGGAATTATTTTAACACATATTAAATTAATATTGTAAAAACCATAAAATATTTAAAATTTTATAAGATAAAAATAAATATTATTCATCTAAATAAAAATTGTAAAAACAAATTAAATTCGTACTTTGATTTCAGCAAGTTCTTTAAATTCGCTAATTGGCTTGTTAAATAACTCTTCTTCCCTATTAACCCATGCAACCCTAGCATCAAATGTTTCTATTTTTCTATGTATATCACTAATAAACTGCAAATAAATTAGTTGTTATAACAATACAGAAATAAACTGTTCATTCTAAAATGTTTACCAATTTATATTCGTAGAGCTTGTCAATTTGATCGATATTGTTCAAGAACGTAAGGTTTGGTTCAAAAGCGTACAGATCATAATTTAAAGAACTGATTTCGTCTGACAATGCGACTTCTGCGTTTAATTTTTCTACTTCGTATAAAGTAGAATATTCAACAAAAATCGGTTTTACGTCTCGTAACCACTTCATTGAGGACGCTTGTGCATCCCAAAATTTTTGAGGCAACACAGCGTACTGAGATACGTTACATGCAACTTTACATAAATCTTTTACTGTTTTAGTCATATCGGCCATAAACTTGGTAGCAGCGTACAACATGTAATTTCCCAGGGCAAAAAACTCTTCGGTACTTTTCGTTTTAGTAAAAGCACGTGAGGCCATTTCTTTGAATTCATTACACAAACTAAATAATCATTTTTAATAAATTTACTGTAATAGGTAGGTAACATGGATGCCATAAACTATCTGAGTAAGTGAATGTCTTATGCAACTTTAATATGAATAGGATTTTACTATAAAACTGTCGTTTAAATATACATAAAAAAAATCTTACATTTCATGATTTCTAATGAACTTATCAATAAATTTTTCAACGATATGTTCTATATAACTTTCAGTTAGATCCCGCAGGTAATTCTTCAAATCCACTTGGTCCATACTAAAATATATTATGATGTTACATCTTAAGTATAAATTAAAAACGAGCTTTTATTTTTACTATCCAAGATCCAAAATCCGATGGTCAACTAATGCATTAGCATCATTTTTATACTTTTGAAATAACTTCAACATTTCTATCATATCGTCGTACGTATTATCCCTCTGTAGATATGTAAAAAGACTTTGAGGCTGGTTTTCATTTATAACGTAAAAGAAATTATTTTCTGTAAATGGTCAATATCAGAATAAATAATATTTCATAGTATTTTTTCGTCTCACCCATTTTTTTCAAATATTTTGTTACGTGTTCGTACATCATATTGATATTTAACTTCAATATATCTTTTGACTTCGATAAATATTGTTCATCACGCCTAATAAAAATTAAATCGGAGGACACGGGATTATGAAAATTTAACTCTAAAGATTTTAACCCTCTGACTGCTGTATTGATCTGAATAAAATATAATTAATAATACATTATATTATATGATATAAAATTATAATTATTATTAGAATATATTATATGAAAATTATACACTAATTATTAATACATTATTTATTAAATATTTGAACCAAAGCAAAAAAACTTTAAAACTTGTTCTAGGTTATGACTATTTTAATAAAACAAATTTAACGGTTCAATTTTTTTTTTTTTTTTGAATGTACACATATATTGCCTTTTCTTTGAATTATACAAGTAACCTACGTATAAATAATCGATTTTTTTATTATTCAAAACAGTAACATTCTAGATTTCTAGTCACTTCAATTTACAGCAATTATTTATTCTAATAATAATATACTAATGAAATGTAATTTTCCGATTATATTTAATAAAATGTAATAACTTATTGTAATGAGTGGCAAAATTAAATTTATTAAACACGTTTGTATTCTATTTTGAAATAGTTATTATAAAATAAATGTTCTAATTATATCGCATACAAATATAAAATTAATACCATAATCGATTAATGAAATTTTTTATAATCGTATTTAATTAATGTCAATTTATTTTTAATGGTGTTCTTATGGTAAAATTAATATTGATATTTTTACTCACTAAATTTAAAATTGAATGGTATTGGCCCCATATTTCATCCACACTTGGTGTGCTTATACATTTACAACCATCAAAATGTAATGTAAAGCATAGTTTAGGTGTTGTTTCCGCTGTTCCTAATACTTGTACTACGTGATCAATTGATTTTGAAATCAAACTTTCCATCTTTAAATTGAAAATAAATTATGTTTACCTTACCATGTAACGTTGTCAATTTCGAAATTATTGTTTAATTAATTTTATGATATAATTATTTAAATTAATTTTTTACCTATTTTATTAAACAAAGAGTTAACTAAGAATAATTATGTAACATTAAAATAAAAGAAGAATTTAATTAAATTTAAATAATATTAACATTCACAAATATCGAAACGATAATTTTCAAATTAGTGCAAAGTAGATAAATTTAAAATATCATTCATAGTATAAATATTTATAATATCCTATCAGTGTCAAATATCAGTCCATAAACAAAAATAAAATAAGTTATAAAAAAAACAGGATTGATAAAATTTTAGGTAGTATTTTATGTAAGTACCCACTTATTACATTATAACTCATTAGTTAATTGTATTTTTTTTACGCATTTTTCATTTATCAAGTATTTTTAATAAATTGTGTTTAAACTCGGTTGTCGGCGGTTTATCTTTCCGGCCTGAACAACAGTCCTGAGAGAAGAAATTTCAATCCCCAACCAATTGTTTCAAAAAAACATGAGTTCCAATACAAAAGAACCTTATCTTACTGTACCCCTACCGTATGGTACATCAATCACATGGAGCTAATGCCTCTAGTTGTCGAAGCTCTCTTATAAATTTAAAAACTAATAAATATATCATGTTATGTTACCTATCGATGTCATACAGTGCAAAAATATGACATTATTTGTATCAGTCTTATGTATGATAATGCACAATTTTCGTTTTAAAAAATGGTCAGTTCTATCATTACCTAAAGAAAAAAGGTTTATTTGTCTCCTGAACCAATTACCTAAATATCAAACAGTATGTATGGTAAATACCGTACATGTATACTTCCGTTTTTCGTATACTGATTATTACTTTATTTTCTGTCATGTTATACGATTATAAAAACAAATTAAACAGTTACAAGCTTACTTCTAACCGTATGATGCTTGTAATACATGCAATAAAATGTGGAAGTGTCGATGATGTCATGCTTTGTACAGATCTTTTAGATAAAGCTAATAATACATTATTATACCAATCCGTAGCCAAATACATATCTTGTTTTTGGAAATCAGTTTCTAATTTTTTTATAAATGTACCAATTTCTTGAAAAATTTTAACGTCCCTAAAAATAATTCCAAGCTTGCCACCTTATTTTTAATTAATTTAAAATAATCAATTATGTATATTACGTATAGTTCTCTACTGCAATTAATGACTTGGGAATTTGAAAGTCTTTACTAAATAAAATACGGGCTACAGTTTGATGAACTGTGTATAACTGTTTTACCAAAAGATTTTTGTTTTTCAAAAACAATGGATAATTTTTAGTTTTTCCTCCTAAACTACAAAAACAAAATAAAATTTGAATTTAATACTAGGTATACCAAAAAATATGATCAATGTAAAAAAATTACACTTTTTTTAATGGTTTTCTTTGTGAGCATTTTTGTATTATGTTATTAGAATCCGTGATAGGTTTAACAGTAGTATTGACTATGAATTCGTGCATATTTTTAGTATAATTGGTTTTCACAACGTCTATCAGGCGTTCCATATTTAATATTCGTTGACCATGTGGTACTGAACTCTATCAAAGTAAAAAATATTTAAAAAAAAAATAAATAAATAAATATTATTTATGAATTTGGAAACACCGATAAAGCGTAATTATTAATTATTATAGGTACTTTGATTATATTTTCTATCCAAGATTTGTTTATTTCGAAGGGTTTTAAATTATTATTTAATGTCATTATTAATTTATTATGACAACAATTCTGAGGCAATTTAAATCCTCTTTTATGATCAATATTCTTGGATGCTATTGCAAACGTACGACTTTTTTCTTTTTCAGCTTGGTCGCACCTTAATAAAAACAAAAATATTATAAACACTTCTATAATAAATCACAATGGATTAAATTTACGCATAGTTTGCTATCAAAGTTCTGCGATCACTGATTGAGTGGTGGTATTTTTTCACTCTTTTCTTTTTGTTCAAGTATTTCGTAATACTAGGAGTTTTTGGAAATTTCGGAACAACTATTTTTGCATCCAACACCTCAACAATATTTCTATTGTTGCCGGTCAAATTCTTATCTCTAGTTGCTTTCAATGATTGACTGGGTGGTAAAAAATTATCTTCATCCATTGTGATTAGTATAAATGTAATTAATTTTAACCTTCAATCTACAACATTTGAACGCTACGAATTAAATGTGACACTTTTAACAAATTCAAAACTTCAAAAGTGTCTAACTAATAAAGTGATTATATTATATTATATTATATTATATATATTATATACGAAATTTAAATCATGTATATTTATATTTTAGAATTTTCATAGAACAATATAAATGAATAAATAAACAAATATAAATACTTATTTGTAGAGTTGAATCATGCAAGCAGACAAAAAAACTTTTCACGCTTACATTAATCACTTATTTAATGAAATAACGATAAATGTAAGATGATTCACTTTTTGTAAGCCAGAAATCTAAAAAAAAATGAAAATTTTAGATAAAAAACCTATCAAACTGTAAATAAAAAGTAATAAAATATTATTGTGGAGACGAATAGCATCTCATAGTAACCAATATAAATACAGTTTCTTTTTATTTGGGTTCTGAGCAACAATATAACGATTTTACAACAAATAAAATACAAGCTAGGATTATTTTCAGGTTATATTTAACATAATAACATAATAATAACATAAATCTATTAAATTAAGCACATACACGTAAGTATGAGGTAGTAAGTACTTACGTCTACGTAGGCGTAAACTGGGGGGGGCAGTCGCCCTCCTAAAATAAATTAGGAGAGGCAGTGCCTCCACTGATATTTAACATACCTTGTTTTAAAATAAGTACAAAACAGCTGATTACAGCTAATACTACTCGTATAATATATATTTTTTTTTTTAATTTTAAATTTTCGCTTATCTAACATAATGTAAAGGCGTGTACCACATGAGCACGCGCCGAACATGCAATGCAACGTTACACACGCCGCGGTGCGGTGTGATTCTTAATTTGCTACGAACGCGCGCGGCGCCAATGATCCACTGTCGACGCGCGCAGTTTGCTGCGAACGTTTTCGTGCGTAGTTCAGATTCAGAGCAGCGAGGGCGTTTCGACGATGATAAAAATACGTCCGCACTGCACCCAACGATTACTTCGTGTTCGTCGGAAAAACCGATAAAAACTAGTTTAAACCCGCGTTGCAGTAACGGCGCGCGTTTCAAGTACCGTTTGCATAAGAATCCAGGTGTTTACGGGCCGAAGCCCAGTCAGACGCGCACCTGAGTGTTATCTCTTCAAGAGCACGCGTCCCTAATGAGTCGGCGATTCGCCTGACCCGGGCGGTTTAGCGCCGCTCCCCGCCGAACTGCCGACTTTCGTACCGTTAAGCCCCGAAAGACCCCAGGCGCCCGGTGCTCCCCTGGTCCTATCCAGGGATGCCACAACCCCGTCGAGTCCAACCTCAAGTCCGCCAAAGCAGGCCTGGGCGCGGCGGGAAGACGCGTAAGACACACGCCACTCTGGGCTAACCGCGCCCCCCGACGTACCATTCATATTACGTGTCATTGGTAGGACAAGCGTCGACGGCGGCCAATCACCCCGCCGTCTTCCGTATTAAAGGGGTTTATCGCCCAGCTGCCGCCACGACTCGCGCCTTCAAAAGAGGAGCGAGACCGACTCGACGCGGTTTCTATTCACCGCGCCGTTCCGGGCCCGCAACCCCTAAAGGAGTGCGAGGATTACGTGAGACGCAACCGGAACGCCCGTAAGAACGGATGCCCGACCTGCCGGAACGGTTACACCGACAGGCCACCAGCCCCCGGCGAACCGGGTTCGGGTCATTTTGATTGCGCGGCCGCTTCGGAGTTCTTGGCACACCGCGAATTTTACGCACCGATCCCGCATAGGCTCCCACCGCGAGCCAACTAACGCGCAAGTACATTGTCCGGGCGAAGATTTCTAATATTTCCTTCGTTTCCCCTACCACGAAGGAATGTTTAAATACTGCTATCCGCAACCCGCAGACC